TTTTTCTTTCTATATATACACACTTCGAAAATTGTGTTGTATAATATTTTATTTTTATTTTTTTTAAATGATGGGCCCATCACTATGTGTCTATGACAGAAAATAATTTCTCTCCTACTACATAAAAATAGATAAACCCTTAATTAATTAGTTAAAACTACCAAATACGAACGGATAAACGCCGGCACAATTGCAAATGCAGGGAGAGTGGAGGACCCCACTTTTGTTCATTAATCACGCACAACTCATTAGGTACATGCGTATATAGAGCTAACAAAACGGGCTCGGCTCGGCGGGCTAACCTGCCCCACTCGCTAAACTGGCCTCGGCGGACTGAATTTTTCAACCCATTTCAAAACCGGGTCGAAGTGGGGCGAGCACAATTTTTGGCGGGTTAACGGCGGGCATAGGCAGGCCGAGGCGGGTCAGTATAAAATAGGTTTGGGCTGGTGGCCCAACCCGCCAAAAGGGGCGGGGCGAGCTGAGTTTTTCAGGCCACTTTCAAAATGTTGGGTTTCCTCCTTCAATGCTAAGCCCAAGCCCATAGAGGGGTTTCCTAAAAACCCTAAACCCTATATCTCACCTTCTCTATATATTCATTAGTTGTGGGTGGAGGCTAGGTTAGATGAAGAAAAATATTTGAGAGACTCTTGAGTGATACTTGAGAGATTTGAGAGCAAAGCTTTACGCTTTGTGTTTGAGAGATCTCTAGAGAGTTTGAGTGAAACATCTCTAGGGAGGTTTGATTATCACCATTGTTGGAGAGGTTGAGTTAACCACCACATTGGTGAATTTGATTATTTGTAACCATTATTTTCATAGTGGATTTTTGATCTGGACTAGGTCCCGTGGGTTTTTACTTCTTCATTGGAGAAGGTTTTCTCAAGTTAAAATCTTTTTTATTTTTTTTATCTATCTCTCTCTCTCTCCTATTTGTGTTTTTGTTTTTTCGTTGCGCTGCCCGACCTGGTGAAGTTCAAGCCGAGGTATTGCCGAGATCCAAGATCAGGATCTTGCTGATTGACTTCCGTGCAAAAAGGCTGTTTAGCCGAGCTTGAGGGAACCGAGTTCCCAACACAAAAGTGGGGCGGGGCGGGCTGGTTCGTTTTTTGGCGGGGTGGGGCGGGCCGCCCACTTTGCCACCTCTATGCGTATACTATATAAATTTAAAAAAATGCCAATTTTCATTTCAAATATAAATTTATCAATATTTAATAAAAGGATTTATAACTCTCATTCAACATGAGAATTGAAATCTTCCTACACACCATTCGATTTCGTGCTGACGTGGATTCTACACATAATTTTTTCTAACATATGGGTCTCACATACTTTTTGTCTCTACATATAAGATTTCAATTTTCATGTAACTTGAGAATTATAAAACTCTTAATAAAATAAAATAAAGCTTACCAAAAAATAAAATAAAATAAGCTCAAATTTCTAAAATAAATTATTTAGAAAATAGATTGCAGGCCTTCTTGTACAAGACCTAACTTATTAGCTTCTATGTTGGCTTATATTGTATTATTTACTTTAAATAAAATATAGTAAAATGATTATTTATATAATTTTAATTAATAAAAAATAACTCAATTATTTCACAAGCCAATCGATTTATTCGAATGCATATCATTCCTTTATTAGTATAAAAATTAATGCATATCCCCAAATTATATATTATTCGCATCTATTTCCCTTACAATTACCAAAAGAAAAAGATTCCATGCTTGAATGATTAAAGTAAAAACATTATAGTAATTGAAGATAATACTGCATTTTCACAATTAAATTGTGTATAAAATCCAACAAATATTTTTTTAAGAACAAATTCATTCAATAAAAATGGTGAAAATTATGAAGAAGAACATTAAATTATATGAAACCTAAAAGCTAATGAACCATAATCAATATTACTCTCTAACACAAATAAAAAAAATGACATAGATGAAAACATATAAGTCAATATTATCACACAAACAACTATGAGAATTGTTTTCTGCATTTATATATTAAGAGATTAATTGGGTGAATCAATTTATTATTATTATTATTTTGAGTAAATCATAGATATCTTATATGAAAAATAATTTTGTTCGAGACAGATACAAAATTAAAGTTTAAAATTTCTTCCAAAAATAATAAAGGTAAAGCTACCCTCACGTAACATAATTTAAACAAATTTTCTTACTCAAACAAAAATGCACGTAGGTCCCATAAATGTAATAAAAACAAAAAGTAAAAAATGATGGTGCAAAAACCAACGAGTCAATTGAACTTATATGACTCAAAGCAATGAGTCAAATCTTATATTATGTTACATGATACTCTTTTTTCCCAAATAATAATAAGAAGAATGTAAGTTATCAAACACATGCTTTCGTTCTCAGGTGACAATTGAACTACGAGTGAATCAATTTATTGTGGGTCCTCCATAGTACATATATTATTGTGATCATTAAGAAAACAAACACTGTTTAGCATTACCGCGTCCTAGAATCTTCCAGGGTGCCAAGCAATCGATAAAGGAAACGTGGACTACAATACCGCGTCCATTTTGTGCATCACATCAGAACACTTAATCACGAAGAAAAAAAGGTTTGCTTTGACGGAAGAGCCTACCAACTTAATTAGGACATGCAGTTTCACGCGCACATAAATAACTTAGCATTGTTGCATTGTTGGGTGCGTGAGGTCATTTGGAAAACTCGTCGAATATAAAGCACATACAGAAAAAAGAGGAGTTGTTTAAGCCAGGTTTGTTTGATTCAGTTATACAAGATTTCAAACATAGTTGATTTCATTTGGATGGGTCAATGCGCATCACGTAGAACAAATAATAGGGGAGAGTTTGGTGGCTGTGGCTCTGTTCATTCAGAAAGGCATGGTTGCTTTGCAATGGTAAAGGAGCATAAGTCCAGGTTCTATATTGTTAGAAGATGTATTATGATGCTAATTTGTTGGAATAAATATGGCGAGTATTAAGATCCTTGAATTTTTTTATAAAAAAAAAATTGGTCGATGTTTTGAATTGACAGTGCTTGCTAACATAAATAATTGTATGCAAAGTAGTTGGATATGACTACAAGCACCGTGACGCAGTCAATTTCTGTCTATTATTGCACAACCCTGCTCTCCTTTTTATGTATCAAAAATAAAATAAAATGTATCCTTTTTTCATTTTCATCTAAGAATTAATGTTTGTCATAGACAGAAAATTTAGGAAATTTTAACGTTTCAAGTATATCCGAATCTTACCAACAAGCCTGTATATATATTTGATTTGATATGACGATTGAAAATAACAATGGTTAAGAAATTTACGGCGCTGGCCCGCCACTTAACCAACCATATTTGGGGGCTCTTCATAAAATTGTTAAAATTGTGAGAGAGGGGATACATTTAACTTGAGGTATGTTTTTGGAGCTAAAATTATTTGGCTTTTCACTTCAATTATTTTTAGAAGTAAAAATTTTTAGTTTTTAAAAAAGTATATTTTTGACTTTTTTGTGGTTTATACTTTCTTTTAAAGAAAATATGCAAACAAATTTTGTAGTAAAAATATTTTTTTTTTTTGAAAAAGAGAGAGCAACTTTTAACTAAAAAAAATTCATCCAAACGCTCTAAGTGAAAACAAGTTAGATTGAACTACCTTTGAGAGTTTGAGGCAAAATAAAGTGCGCAATAACTATTTTGTTATTTAGAACTTGTTTGCATCGTCTCTTTTTAAATTAGAAGTTAATTTTAAGTTAAAGCTAAAAAAAAAATTAACAAAAAAAGCTAAAAATTATTTAATGATTACATAAATTTTTTATCTTAAAAATTACTTAAAAGCACACATTTCAAGAAAAGTTTCTCTTTTTTTCTCTCTCTATCTCTATGGCTCTTTATTTCAATATACAAATCAAGAAAAACTGATAAGAACTTTAAAAAAAAATTCTTCTAAGAGCTTTTGACTTTTTTCTTCATTAAAAAAAAAAATTCATTATAATTTTTTTTCTTCTCAAAATCTGTTTAGTCTAATTTCTACTTATAAGAAAGAAAGAAGCTAAAAATAAGAAATTTTTAAGTATTATTTTTCCTTTTCTGTGTCCCCGAATGAAGAAGTATATATATATTTTTTTAACTTCTATTCGAGGACTACCGGATCATATTTTTTAAAAAAATACATAAGCTGATTCTATCAAACTATTTCCCTCACACAATGACAGGTGAACCGTGAACCCCAGCTCTATTTTTTTTTTTTTTTTCTCTTTCCACTTTACTGTGAATCCCACTAATTTATTAAAGGGAAAAAAATTTCTGATATTACTTTAGACAATTTTGTCTAATGTTTAACAAAACAACATCGTTTTGAGGTTAAAAAATTAAGAAATTTAAATGATAAAAACTATTATAACTCTGAAATAAATTAAAATTACAAAAACACCATGATTTTCGTCTCAAAACGACGCCGTTAAATGAACATTAAATAAAATTATCTAAAATAACTTTAGAAAAAACAAACCCTTTATTAAATCTACCGGAGAAAAAATCACACAATAATTGGAGGATCCCTTCTTTCTTTCTTCTTTTTTTTTTTTGTTCCCACTTTTTTGTTGATCCCATTAATTTATTGATTCTGCAGGATATAACACAGGAGAAAACTATTCCCCATAATTTACTGTCCTTAATATTCAGAAAAACTGAATGACAATCTAGGAGAAAAACTTTAATGGATCGAGACCACATAGTTTGATGGTCCCTTATACTAAAAGGGAATTCTCCCCCTTTACCCATTTTTTGTTTTATATTTCCGTTTTAAGTCCTAAAAAAATTCCCTTTTTAGCAAAAAAGAACATCGAATTTGGTAATCCCGGAGCATTAAAATTTTTCTCATTCTGGAGCTTGTTCCAAAATCAGTCACATTGACAGTGCTAGTATCATCATTAGTCAATTATCAATATTGTGCAGCAAAAATTAATAATCAATTGAAAAAATTCATGTTATATTTCATTCATCAGTGGGTCAAGGCCACATTAATTCTTCCCATTGCTGATCATGTTAAGGATTGCATACATGAGATCGTCATTGCAATCAGAGTATTAGTAGTATTTTACAAGGTTTAGGGCATTTTATTACGTTTAATGTACACTGACTGGGGTCGACGACTCTAATGCGCAGCTGTACAACACATAATTTTGCTAGTTTCCTTCATTTCTGTAACTTATACCTCAATATATTGCTGTTGAAAAATTATCAGGAAATGATACCAATACATTCTTCAGAACTTACCCTGTCATCATGACATGAAAATTTCCAATATACAATTAGACAACTATGCAGTGAACCTACAGCAGACACATGTATTGTTTTTAAATGTCAAATTCCAAAGGTTGAAGTACCAAAGCAATTTCGGACATACCTAACAAGCTAATTAGTGCTCATGTGCTGATTTACGAAGATTTGCAAGTTTGTCTCTCCATATAGCTGCAAAAGCCAGCCAACAAGTTTAGATGATTCCATAACACTACCCTGCTTTATGTATTCCAAATTTCACAAGGCAACAAATTTCGTAACTTCAATACTCGCCAATAATATTAAATACAATCATACCCAAAAGATATCTTACCTGCATCTTTAAATCTTTCCTGTTTGATAGCTATATGCATGTTACGCATCATACTTAGCTCTTGAGCTACCAAATCTGGACCATCTGAAGGACTGTAGAAAACAAACATAAAGTTTAGACTCGTGATAAACCAAGAATGTAAAAAAAGGGGGTGGGTGGGAGCACTCACAGCAACTTATACACAATCTATATGATGACACAATAATTCTGCAATACCTGTCAAGCAGTACATCATAAATAGCCTTTTTATTAGGCACTCTGCCCATTCCATAACCGAGTCTGATAGCATCTGTGAAAACAATTTGTTTACTTACATATATTGGAGCCTGCAGAGATCAAAATTAAAATCAAACAAGTGGATTTGTCTAACATCCGTGCATAAAATGCATTTTACTAGGATGTCTGCAGAAGAACAGATGTGCTATAGCCTTCGGAGATTCCCCTTTAATAAAATAAAATTTCTTAACAAATATTGGCAGGGTCACCACAGAGTTTATACCTTGCATCTGTTTGCAACATTAATGGCATCTGATGGACGTGCATCCACACTAATAATTTCACTTTTCCCTGGCTGGAGGAATCATTATCATTGATGAGCACTTAAATGAATGAAAGAGTATAACATATAGGTGTTTTATCATTTAGAATGGAAAAGTTTCCAAAACCTGGCTAAGGTACAATCTGGCATAGTAAGTACTGACCACTCTTTCCGTAATTCTCACCATTATCACCTGAAAGAGTAAAATGAAGAAAAGACTTTTGGATTATTTATTTGACACCCAATTTCTACTTGAAGGAATTTGTCTGAGCATGATAGAATGATAGTGCTATATTGCTATTGCTTTAGAACCTTTGCACAAGGATAAGAACTGATCAAAGAGATTGCTAAAGTGAAATATCCACTTAAGAGGATCCAAAAAACAGTATCCAAATTGTACCTATTTTTCAGTACGGTAATTCTTAAACACAAACATGCAACAAGTGTTGATGCTATGATCTCGCCTGATAATCGTTGATAGGGATAAAAGATATAAAATTAGACCAAAAGAAAGGTCATTAACTAGCGCAGAATACCTTTTGTAGCATTATATGATTTAGTGGACGGATAAAGTATGATGTGGGTGTCGGAATTGAATATGCAAATGAGAGAGATTATAGCATTTCATTATCAAGAAGAAAGCAAAAGAACCAAAAGTCCCAAGATATATGTCACAATGCCCTTCCATCTACATACAGGGAATCCCACAAATGTAAGATTAAACAAGAGGCTAAAAGGAAAGAAGTGGAATCATTTTTGTTGCTGCTATTTGCATAACATTACCACCTAGACCTAGAAGACATGCATCAGAATGAGGAAAAGAAATTAACAAAAAAAATTAAAAAGAATATCCACTGGCATCAATATAAACAGGGAAAAGCTTAGCTTCATACTTCATGATCTAGTCTTTCAACAAGGTTTTTCACAAACTGGAACTGGTCTGGGCAATCCTGCAATATCACCATTTTTTATGGATCAGTCACGAACAGAAAAGCACAAGTGAACAACCATTGGGATAAAGGTTGAAAAATTACCGGACTTTCTTGTTCAGCTTCAGCATTTATAAGTTTTTCAATAGCAATCTTTCCTGCAGCAACAAAGAAATGAAGTTAACAAAACTTGGGTTTTCTAGAAATGACAGGTGAAAAAGATAATCAAGAAGATACATTTATATCTCTGGCACATACCTACAACAATGGGCAGAATGTAGTCTCCATCACAAGAAATCTTGAGAAAAATTGTGGGATTCTGGAAACCCTGTAGCAAGCCTTGTCTTATTAAATTATTACTATAATTATCCGTTCTTGAATTTTTTTCCTGGATAGATAATGGAATTGATGGTGTAGACGATTTCCATTGTAACTCTGATTGAAATCGATGCCTCCACGTCCACATATGATAGTGTGAGATTGTTTCTGCGCTAGTTTAAGTAATTAAAATTTCAGGGATGCATGCATACACATGGATAGACCTAAATGATCAAAAGAACCAGAGTTACTACAATACACTACTGTAAGACGATTTGCAAACTTTCACAAAGAAAACAATAACTAATGAAAAAAAGCGAAAAAAATAAATAAATAAGAAGGATATGCCTACAAACAACGCCTCTAGAAACGTGAAAAAAAAAAGTATACTAAAGCTCAGAGAAAAAAAAAAATTCTTTTTTCTTTTTTCTTTTTTAGGATGAGACAAGAAAACGCAAGGTTGATACTTTAAACAAATAAGCATTGTATTTATAAAAACACGATCAACCCATCACTCTCAGTAACAAAATTTTGAATAATTGAGAGAGAAATAGTAAAAAAGGTGAGAAAGAAACAGGTAGGGTACCCTACCTGAGAGAAGGAGGGAAGCTTCGAGAAAGTCGTTGTTGTTGTTGTGATGATGATCGCCAAAACTGGATCTGCTGCGGGATGAATTACAGGAAATAAGGATGGATTTGGGGTATTGAAAGCGCCGGGTTCGAAGCTGCGGTAGGTGAATCGGTGAGAAATCGAAGGCGAGGGAGTGAGGAACGAAACGGGTGGAGACGACGGCATTGGTGTGATCGGCTGTGACGGAGCCCACGCCGGAGACGGTGCGGACGCAGAATCGAGAGCCCAGCATTTTGTATGTGAAACTCAGAAGAAGGAGAAGAAGATGCAGAGAACGAGAGAGAGAGAGAGAGAAAGAGAGGACAAGGAGGTGGGTGGAGATGATATTAATTATAATTTTTGATAATTAATTGGGTAATTACTAATTAGGTCTCATTGTTAATTGGGTTTATTTTAGGAAACTCTATGGTTGCAAGCTAATTACACTTTGCTTTTATGACACTCGTTTACGATTATTATTTTATTTTTTTAATATCATTGAGTATCATGGTATATATTAATATGGATTTCAGCTGTACAAAACTCTTTTTATCTACCTATTAAATTGTTAACATAATATCTAAAATTCTTAACTGAGATAACTAATTAAATTGGAATAATATCAAAAAATTTATTCACATGCTTGATAGTTCTTGTTCATTTTAATTTGCGAATAGTAAGAAAATAAAATAGATATTTCCTGTAATTTACTTACTTTAAGAAATTGGAATTGTGTTTCTCTTTAAGTATAAAGTTATGTTGTGACACTAATATTATTCTCTCCGTTCATAACATCAAAATTTGGATTTTTTATTTTTTTTTCTTGTTTTTATTTTGATATTTAACTGGTATAATCTTCGCTTAATAAAGTCCTCTATTTATTTATCAAAAAATAAAATAAAATAAGAATAATATTTTTTTTATGTTACATAATACTACCCAAAGAATAAATAAGAAAAAGAAAAGAGTCAGAGGTGAGAGAAAAAACAATTATGAGATCATATAAAAAATGTAAATGTAAAAAATAATATTTTTTAATATAACATAAAATAAAGTCCTTTATTTTGAAGTTAAAATTAGCTGTCGTCGTGACAAGTGTCATTATGTGCTAATAAAAATATAGGAAAAGCAAATGTCATGTTACAATTTTTGTTTCCTCCTGCTCTCAGTTCATTCTCCATATGCCAGCTTTTTTTTAAGGGTTTCTCTTTTCTCATGTCACATGAGATATCATCTCTCATGTCATAGACACAATAAGTGGTGGGGCCCACCACTTATTAAAAAAGAAGAAAAAACTAAAAAGATAGCACGAATTTCGATGTCTCACAACATGAGAAAACTATCTCCTATTACATAAGAAAATGATTTCCCTTTTTTTAATATTTGATGGACCGTACAAAAACATATATCCTGTTACTTGAAATTTACAAAACCCTAAAAATATATAGATGTACAAAGATATTTTGATTTTGACGATGCTGATATTATGCACAACTTAATAGCTTATGGTTTTTGTCCAGTTCTTTTCATTACGCTACCAACAAAATCGGATGTACATGTACTGCTTGGCTTGGATCGACACTTGTACGAGATATGAAATATAACACTTTATGGTATTTTAATATATTAATTTTAAAAAATGTTAAATTTTAATATATTAAGACACATTTTGATATTACATAATATTTTTAATTTATGAAATATATATTATATTTAATATTCAATAATTTAACAAAAAAATAAAGATAAACTTATAATATTGATCTATTTGCAAATAAACATAAGATATCTCATATATTTATATTAAACTCAATAGAACAAAAATCGTAATCTAACATATCTAATAGTTGAAACTAAAAACGCAACACAAATATAACTTTGAACCCTTTTTTGAGTCTCTGCAATACGTATTGAAGAGTATCGGGAAGTACTATACACGACATGTAAGAAATTTTAAAGTACCTGTGGATCATAGCTTTTTGGTGTCAAATTTATAATGATTGAATAATCTAGTATTCTTACAACCTAAAAATTTTAGTTATAATTTATAATAAATTATAACTAATCAATAAATATAACTCAATAATTTATAACCATTTGATTGATAAAAATTAACGATAAAAAAATAAATTATATGAGATTATAAAACTATTGTAAGAATAACCCTTTTCTATGTTCTATTATGTCTTAACAAATGGAATAACTTTCTTTTTTTCTTAATTTGATCGAATAAATTCAAAATAATTTTATAACAAAAATATAATTAAAAAATATGAGTTGATACAAAGAAATATAATACTTACATTTGTTATTATATTGTGAATAATAAATCTCAAGACAATGATTAACAAAAAAACACCTCAGTAAGTACTAAAATTATTATATATGGTATACAAAATAATTTTTTTTTTGGTGGGCATTACAAAATAATTATTAAATTTATATAGAAATGTATATTTAACGCTAAGAATATGCCACAACACAAAAAATATATATTTAACTTGCCCAAACTCAGTTAATGTGGTTTCTTGGGAATATAGTTGACAGAAAAAACCATGCCCAGAGTTCAAAGAATAAATATGTTTTCATTGGCCACGCTTGATGTTTCTTGGGTTCAGCATTCAAATTTGAAATCACATTTAAAATAAAATAAAAAATGAAATGTCATTTTTCTTCATGAAGATATTCCCTATTTTCCTATCATGTTTTAAATATAAATTTCTATATAATACAATACATGTGATGCAAAACTTGGCAATGGCTATTCATTTGTTACTCATTACTACAAATCTTTCGAAAGTTGTATTGTTTCTTAGCTGCATCTGTCATATGTGTCTTACACGCCTTAGAGGGAGCTTCAACAACTTGAATATCTCATATGTTCTGACGTTTTGGCCAGAGTAAAGGCAAAGGTCAAGTGGAGTTAAACCATCCTGATACAAACAACACCGAAATTGCAATTTGTTTAATCAACGTAAAATAAATGGCCAGTATTAAGCAGCTAGACAACACAAATTGAACGCTCAATCACTGACTAAAGGGTTCTCTAGTTTTATAAGCAACAGCTGACAATTTGAATATGCAAGTATGCAACAACTGAGGTCAAGTTGCAAAACTCTTGACTCTCAAGAGGCATTAAGTGCCCCTTTAGATAGGCTTTTATTCCTAAAAAAATTGTTTGTTTTTTTTTTTTAAATTCTTTTGAGAATTTTTAGATGTTTGGATAACAATTTAAAAAAAAAGCAAAATTTAAAATAAAAGTTAAAATGCTGCTTTTTTTTATAGCTAGTAGTTGGTTGCTTTTGAAAAAAGCAGAAATTAAAAGATAATATAATTTATTTATTTTTGGAAAAAAGATAATATAAATTTTTAAAATACAATTTTAACCTTATCCTATCATACCTATTTTATCTCTCCTTATCCTAAAATCATGTTATTTTATCTCTCCTTTATTGTAATTTTATATATAAAAAGTGTTTTTTTTTTATTTTAACATCCAAACAACTTTTTTATGTAAAAGTAATTTTCAGATCATACATCCAAACGTAAAAAAACTTTATCTTTTAAAAAAAGTAATGCATAAAAAGTCATTTTCTTAAAAGCTCATCCAAACGGACCCTAAGCAAAAATTAATAATTCCTTAATTACAGCAGCAACAATAACAAAATCAATCATGCATTATGCTACTAGACAATTACCTTGTTTTTTAATGTCTTATCAGCACCTTTAATCAGCAGAAGCCTCACTACATCTGTTCTCTGAGTTAGAACTGCAAGATGTAATGGTGCCCAGCCATCCTGAGACAGAACAAATCAATTATGTTCTCAAACAGCTCATAACACAAAAGAATAAGAGGTAGATAAGCTAAATATGAGAACAATTAACCATACATTGTCCTGAAGATTTATATCCACATTATACAATAAGAGTATTTTAATTGTCCGGCTAGAAGATGTTTGTACAGCATAGTGCATCAAGGTGGCCCCATCCTGTTTCCACAACATAAACAACAATGTAAGTGCATAAAAAACACGAGCAACATGCTGTTACATTAAGATGCAATGATATCAGTGACGATTTCTCAATGAGGGCAGGAATAGAATAAAAAATAACTCTCAGAAGAAAATCAGAACCTGTAAAGGCTTAAACATGCAACTACAACAGCACAACCCAACAATTCAATAATTTTTACTCACTTTATCCTGTACAAAGGGATTAGCTGAATTTCGCAGGAGATAGTTGGTTATGGCCATCTTTTTGGCAATTATCGCTTTGTGAAGAGCAGTCAAACCATTCTGGAACAAAGTAAATCACTACAGTTTAAATAGACGATTCCACAAATTCTTAATATCCCATATGAGAAGTTAGAATTTATATACCTTATCCACAGCATTTATATCAACATTATGCTTCAACAAAGAATCTAAAAACTCCAACTCTCCACATGTAGCGAGAGTGTGCAGAGGAAGCCATTTATCCTGAAAATAATATCAGTATTAGCCAGAAAAATAAAATAAAAGCATTGAGATTATTCAACAAAGGCTACAAGTTAGTGAATCAGAACCCTTTTCCCTTCAACAAAAAAAGAAAATGCTACAGGGTTTCTTAGTCCTAAGCATCCAGTTTAGGAAGACTGACAGCATCAACAACTACTGAGATTACTCAACAACAACATCAACAATAGAAGGAAAAATCACCATGACATCACAATGAAGGACAACTATAGAGTTTTCATTTTCCAATAATAACAAGAACATAATGATGATGAAATAAAAGTCATTGTTCACCAGACATGGAAAACTTACTGAAGTGGCAACTGCCAAATCCGGTATTCGCATGTTCAATAAAACCTTCTCCTCCTTAGTGAACAACTTGCGACGACCTATTCATGCAAGCACAAAAGAATTAAGACAACAATCCCAACACTTAAAAAAAGCCACATACATGCAATGAGGAGCTTAAAAGACAACAACAAGTGAATAAAATCATTCACACTAATCCTCAACAAATGGCAAACTAAAACAAAGATATGAAAATAGAGGCCAAAAGAGCATAAATAAAAAAACTAAAAGAGGACCGATAGATATACCTTCAGTGTTCTTAGCACTAGGGTCGTAGTTCACACTATTGAAAAACTCTGTAACATCCTCCAAACCCCTACCATAAACAGCCCACCTAGGATTCTTGGGCTCTACACGCTCACCACCAGACCCATTATTAAATTCATCTTCTTTTTCCTCTAGGACCTCTTCTTTATCAGGAATTTTAGAAGGGTTATCCAGAATCAGAGGTTGCAGCTGTGCCAATTTAGCCTCCTTATAAGCCTGATACTCATTCAGATTCATATCCCTAAGGGGAACCAACCCTCTTTTCTTCTTATCAACCTTGCTATTGAACTCCAATTCCTGAGCTATCTTGCGCCTCTCTTTCTTCGTAATGTTTATCTCTGCTTGGGCTTCTTTCCACTTCTCCGGAACCAAATTCTCAGCAGCAATCACTGCCACCTTTTTCTTGGAATTGCGTTTGGGTTTTTTAACGGTGAGATTATCGGAATCGAGGTCTTCCTGAAAAATGGGGTCTTCGAAGATGCCATCCTCGAAGACGACGCAGTCTCCGATAACGTGTTCTTCGAAGTCGTCATCATCATCATCTTGCTGTGGTGGGTGCAACGACGAAACGAGAGAGGGGAGGTTCCACTTTCTGGGGAATTTAAGAGTTTGTAAAGATTTGAACTTGCTGTGAGTGATAGCAGAAGGGAAGATGGGGAAGGGAGAGAAGAGTTTGTGAGGTTGAGGATTCAGAACAAGTGTAGTAGAAAAATGGAACATGTTGTGTCTTCCTCTTTCACGGTGCTGCTGCAAATGCTAGAGCTAAGCTTGGGCTTTTTGTCTTCTAACATTCCATGTCTGTGGGCTTGTTTTTTTTCTACATGTGTGGGCCCATGTCGATTAACAGAGCCCGACCCAATTGGTCTTCTGTGGAACCTGCACCCAGTTTTCACGAGTTCTCCAGCTGTTGTTGTGCAGAACACGTCGAGCTTTCTCACTCTTTGCACTGCTTATAATATCTGATTGACACCTTTTGTAATCCTTCACCTCCAAACCAATATTTTTTTTTCTTAATTTGTTTTTGGTGCCAGCACGAAATCTCTTTTAATTATTCTTTGTGATTAATGTTTCTCATATTGTAAAAGATAATTTTATCTCCTATATACAGGTAAAAATATGTGAAATTCATGTAAAGAGAAAAAAAGAAAAACAAGCATAGGTCTCATACGTTTTTAAGTGTGTGTAGTAGATAAAATATCTCCTACAGAAACATTAATCTCTTATTCTTCGTATAAAGAATTAATTGACATTAATATAACTCTTACACTCATTATAATTTATCAATTTTATTGGATCAAACGAATTTAGTCTATTAATCTTGTAAACTGTTAAATGTAAATAAGATCCACGATTAATATTTAATATAAATTTTATTATTCTCATATTGATTATATAAATATAGTTATATATAAATGATATTTGTATTCTTTATATTTAAAGTATTCTTACAATTTACTAAAACTAGAAATGATTAAAAGCAAAGTTCTCCTTAGAAAACAATCAAACAAGTTCTTCTTTCTATCAAAATTTATTCCAAACTGTTTACGAAAATTAATGAAACACATATTTTGATATTTTCATTCTGTAAAATAATTCTGAAAATATTTCTAGGAAATATTTAAAAAGAAAAAAGAAAAGAATTAAATAGGCTTTTTACATCATTTCAATCGAGAATATTATCAAACATAATTTGTCAAAAGCAAAAAGAGGACCTAATGCAAAGATTTGTATTTTTTTAAAAATAAAATAAAAAAAGAGAGTCAGAGACAAATATGTGGAGCTCTGCGGATAGTTAGTCTTGAATGTCTACTCGGTCTAATGAAATATGAATTGCAGAACCCAAAAACATGGTCACAACTCACAACATGAACCTTCAGTTTCTCAAACAAATGGGGGCCACATTAGATATGATACTTTTAATGAATGGGAAGAAACAAGGCATCAAGCAGCTGAAGCCCTCAAAGTTAACGTTGATGCCACCTTAACGTAAGCGAAATAGACTGGCTAGCTGTTAAAAAACCCGAACAATAACTGTTGATAGAAAACCAATTAGAATTTTTTTTATTTAATTTGAGGAGGGATTTTTTACTTCGAAATTTTACTCCTTTTAGCAGTTAAATTTCATCCATAAATTATATCAATTAATTAATTATAAACAAAAATATGGAATGTAACATTTCATAATCTTACACTGAAAACAGAGCATCCCCCCTCGTTTAATTCAAACTAAAAATTATTCATTTGAACCACCAAAGTGCAATTTATAGGAGACTATAAATTTTTTAATTTTTATCTTGCAACTTGCAAGACATATGATATGATTTTTTTTATGTTAATTTACAATTTAATCTGACTTTATTTTGCAGTATTCAAAAATATATATATAATTATCAACGGTTCAACTACGGTTCAACTACGATCAACGATTAGTCCTTCAGCTTCGCCTACTCAATGAAGATCATACAGCATGAACAAATAACAAATATTTGGGACATACGCGCATACATGACCAGTTTCAAATGCAGAAGTTCCATTCCGTATGCATAAACAACTGTTTTAGCTGACAAGTACATGATAAAGATGCATAAACAACAGCAAGCAACTACTTCCAAATCATGCATACATCGCATGAAGGCACAAACTGTTAGTCAGGGTAGCATAAACAGCTGCACAAATCTTTGCTGTCCGTCTTCAAACTTCAAAAGATTGAAACAAGCTAACAAAAAACATCACCTAGATCCACGAGCATACCTTCTATCTGGGCTACCATATGGCGAATAAGACCTATCCCTCCTAGATCTTCCACCATAGGGCGAGTGCCTAGGTGAATAATCCCTGCCACCTCGATATGAAGAGCGCCTTGGAGACCTACTATATGGATAATCATCACGACTAGATCCACCTCGATACCTTCCACGGTCACCACGATGTCCTTGAGATAAACAGGAATATAGAGTTCAGAAAAGTTTTCATAAACAAACACTAAGGATTAGATTAACCATTCAAATTATGTGTCTCATACTTACCATAGTCTCTAGTACTTTTCAGCCCAAGATAGTGTCCAGGTGTAGGAGTTCTTGGCCGCTTTCTTCGTGACTGAAATAAGACACAAGCTCAATCCTTAGAATTTCCTTGATATAAATCAAACAGCATAAATCATCCAAGTAACACTGAATGCAAAACAGACTGAATGCAAAACAGACTGAATCTTCTAACATCCTTCTTGCCTTCTCCGTAAATTGTATGAAGTGACACTTACACATTATATTAAGAGTGCTTTAAAAGAAAGTTTCATTAACATAAAGAGCCTAGCTTATAAGAAAAGGAAAAAAAATTTATATCTAGACACTCATGATTAATGCCTGGCGTGAGATACCCATAAAAGCCTGATTAGAAAGTTGATAATGTCCGTTGATTAGTTGAGAGTTGAAAGTGAATGCTGAGGTTGTAAAGTTGTTGGACAATATAGTTGCTATGTTTAGTTGATCAGACGCATTAGCTGTTTAAGCTTGCCATTGATCAAGCTGTTTCACTAAAGTTGACATGTATGAACTGATCATCTTTGATTGCTGCCAACATAGCTGATGTAATGTATTCTGAATATAACCACAAAACCTTCAAGTCAAGGAGAAAGAAAAGCACAAGTGTTTTATCAACTGCTACTTAATGGAAAACATATTACCCGCTCAACAGTGATATAGCGACCCTCCAGAACTGATTGATTGAGATACTTGATACAGCGGTTTGCATCCTCAACAGAATCCATTGTAATAAAAGCAAAACCACGAGAAATACGTGTACGAGGCTCCATCACCAGAAAACATGAAGCAACCTAACAAAGAAAAAACCATTGACAGCCATTCCAAATTGGGGGATCATTAATACGGGGAGCGGTGATGATTCAGTGATAAAGGAGAGAAAATCAAAATGACACTCACTTTTCCCTCCTTAGAGAAATGCTCCTCTAGGTCTCTCTCAGTGACCCTTGAAGATAGGCCAGTCACATAAAGTGTAAACCCAGGATTTTTAGTCTCAGACCTGGAACATAATTGAGGATATTAGAAGTTCCTGACACAACATCATTTAACCAGAGCACACAAACACAGTTGTCCCTTTCAGAAATACTTAAAAAAGAAGAAGAGAGAATTAATCTTTAAACTTCAACACAAAAGTATCATGATCAGATATAACTGAAATTCAAAATGACAAACCTTTCAGGACTTCTAGATCTTGATCTGAACAACAAAAGACCGGTCATTCCACAACATGGGAAAAAAAGAAGACACAAAAAGAAGTATCAGACACAGCAGAGTGATATAATGGGAAAAAGAGTACCACAGTCAAAAGCCAAAACTTTTGAAAGCTAAACCATGATCGCCACTAACCTGCCCCGGCTTCTCGAACGGGATCTAGGCCTTTGCTTTTCAAAAGACCTTGACCGAGATCGAGACCTAGACATAGGCCTAGATCTAGATCTTGACCTGGATCTTGACAATGATTGAGCTCTGTATGGAGAAGGGGACCTTGAATTCCTAAACCATTCCATCATGACCACAGAATCAAACAGAGAGTTTGAGAGTTTAAATTTGAAACCTCCAAATTAATTAACCTATAACCTCAGATTGATCACTTTCTATTACAGCGAGTTTCAATTTGAAATCTCCAAATCAATAATTCAAGTTATTACCAAATCATTGTCAATGTTTCATTTGATTGTGTGTTAACAAACACATAAATTACAGACGAAGATGTTGTCCTATACGAACAGATTATCGTGCTCCAACAACGTTTGATTATCATGATTACCGAAATCCAAGAGAGTTAAGAGTTTACCTTCTTAGTGGAGAATCCGCCTGCAAAATAATTGGGGGGAAAAAAGAAGAGAAAAAGCAACAAAGCGTTAGATTATATTCGCCAAGTGGCTCAGAATAATCTGAATGAGGGATCGATTCAGATAGAGAACTTGCCATTTCCACGAGCGACGAGATTCAAGTCTTGACTCGTGAACAGAGATGAAGAATCAACACGACAACGACGAAGGGTTAGGGTTTTGTCGAACGACGTACACGAACAAATTGACCTACGGTTACCAGTTTTCTAAATCTTCTGTTCCTTTTTGTCCCTGAGCTGTCAAAGTGTTCAGCCCGGTCCACATCGAGCCAGACTGGACCGATTAATTTTCGGCCCTACTTCGTCGATATATATCATGTCGTGCGCTAAGTGATCATGATCCAAATGTCTCAAATAATTTTTTTTTTTTTTTTGGATACAAAGTCTCAACTATTAACTATTTAAAAAAGTCTCAAATACATAAAATAAATTGTTTATATTTTAAAATTATTTATTGAAAAGTTAATTACATTAATTATTTTAATAATTAAATGATAATTATCAAAATTATAAACAAAAAATACACGTATACAATAAAGATGTAAATAATCAGATGACTTATTAGCCTATAGTTTAACCTAACTCGTTTAGTGAATAAAATAAGCGTTAAATGTTTCTTCGGTCACTGGAGATAAAATTATCTCAGGTATCCCAAAATAATATCGTTTTGGGTTGGGAGAAAAAACAATATAATTATAACGACTAATATAATCCAAAATAAATTAGAATTACAAAAATCCATTTTTACTAATCTCACAAGTCACAATGAAGTCGTTTTGGGCTCAAGATAACTTATCTTTAGTAAATACAGAAACATTAAACCCATGTAATGAACCTAAATATGTGAAAAAATCTTTTCAAATGACCTTTTTTGAAAAATGACTTCATCGTGACTTGTGAGGTATCTTTTGGATAAGTTATCTTGAGCCCAAAACGACCTTTCAAGTGAAAAATGACTTAATATATGGCCATCACTTAAACGCATGCTCATATATATATGAAAAAATATTTCTCAAGCAGCTTGAGATAAGTTTATCTCCGGTCACTCCAAAGTCGTTTTATTTATTTATTTCTTTATATTAATTAATTCACCTTTGAATGATTATGATTATCTTTTTCTCTCTCTTCCTTTATCACTATTGATCCATCTTTATACGGTTATGATCTGGTAGCCGGATATAAAATTATCTCAAGTAGCTTGAGAAATGATAAACCCATATATATATATGTGTGTGTGGAAAAATATTTCTCTTATCACAGGAGATAAAGTTATCTTATGAAACCACAAAACTACGTCGGTTTGAGTGTATAGGGAATTAATGAAAGTTATTTTGATAAAAAAAAATTTATTATATAAAATTTACCAAAACAGCCTTCAATAATTCATCTAACCCTCAAAATAACATAGTTTTGGGGTTGCATAAAATAATTTTATATCTAGTGACAGAGGAAATTATATATATATATAGGGCTTTGGATTTCTTCAGCAACAGAAGATCACTGTTCTTTCCTGCACTTTCCTGCAGAAAGTAGACAAACTGGGCCCCACTAGATTTTGTAAAAAATAAAATAAAAAATGTTTGGCCCATTTTTCGGAATATAAGTGACAGAAGATTAACAAATTCCTATTACATAAGAATAAATTTTGCCACACACACACACACACACACATATATATATGGCAGGATATGTAAGAATATGAATTGTTACACTCAATCTTGACTATTGATCCCCTTGCATTCAATGCCTCACATTATTAAAAAATTAGAGCCGTTAAATCTAAATGGTGTCAACTACCAAGATTTAGAGTATAACATATACAAGTGTAAAATGATCCTAACCCTATATATATATATATATATATATATATATATATATATATATATATATATATATATATATAGGAGGTATCTTTTGACTACAGTGCAAGACTTAGAAGTCTTACTCCTCATCTTAAATGTTGATTTACATTCATCTAATGGTTATAATTTATTGAGTTATATTAATTAATTAACCATTAATTTCAAATAAATAACAACTATTGGATGGACGAAAATCAACGGTTTAGATGAGAAGTAAGACTTTTAAGTCTTACAACGGAATCAAAAGGTCCCTCCCCATATATATATTATAAGTTATCTGTTGATTTTAAGGGGGAAAAGTTTCTCCAACAGATAAAGTTATCTCCAGCAATCCAAAAATGATATTGTTTTGAGAATTGAAAAAATTAATAAAGGATGTTTTAGGAATTTTATTTGTTCTTTGTTATATGAATTTTATCAAAAGATCATTTATTAATTCCCCAAACCCTCAAAATGGCCTAGTTTTAGGGTTGTTGGAAATAAATTTATCTCATGTGACATTGAAAAGAGAAACAATAAACCCTAGTTTATATGCTTAAACATATTACTTTTTTTAATAACTAACTTTCAAGTATTTTTATTTTGACTTCTACTTCAAATTTTGTTAATAAAAAAATTTATATTAATAATTGGGAGAATGTATATTTGCAATCACTTTTCTTTTACAATTTTTTTATAGTTGTTAGATCAAAATCAAATCAATGGTTATAAAATAATATTAAATGAGAACCGTTGATTTTATTTTTATCCAACAATCATAAAATATTTGTAAGAAAAAAAATTATAAATATAACTCTCTCTTAATAAAGAAAAATACATGTTTACAAAACAAAACAAAAAAAGACTTGAAAAGTCTGGTAACCTAAAATAAACTTATAGTCAGCCTTTTATTTTTGTAAAAAAAATGTCAAACCGGACTTATTATTTAACATGCATATTTAAGCCAAATAGATTGTGTCCTAATTGACTACCGAACAAAAAAATAAAACCTGCTTGTTTTCGACTGTTCCATCATGCTACTCGTGTGAATAAATATTATAAATTTGCCCCCACCAAACATCTCCTAACTCATTCCATACTTTTTTATTTAGAGTTGATAATTGTTTGTGGTCTAGTCCTCCGCGGACTAAATAAAAAAAAATTCCACTAAAAAAATCGTCATCGAGGAAACAAGTGCTTATTTTGAATTCTGTTTTTAAAAATAATTTTTTAATTTTTAGAATAAAAAATTTATTTGATAAGACCTGTACTGTAAAATAATTCTAAAAATTATAACTGTTTTTTAATTTTTAAAATCAAATTTAAAGAACATGTTTGACATTATAAAAAAAAAAAGCAGAACATGTTTGAATTGTTTTTCTTTTATGTTTTGACTTTTAACTTTCAAAAAAAAGAAAATACATAGTAAACACTTATTTCATTAACTATTTTAGAAAACAGTTTAAATTACAAAAAAAAAAAAACCAAAACACAATCACACAAGCCCTGTATTCCAAAATGTTTATCTCACTCTGCTAAAAAAACAGAATCAATTATAGATTCAAAACTATTCCACAAAACAAAGGAAAGGGGTTAAAGAATTTCATTTTATTCTGAGAGCTATGACCAAATACAGGGCTCGACAGTGGACCCCAAAGAATCTATGAACTGGTGATCCTTTCAAAATATGAATTCACACTGTAAAAGATTTACAAGTGGTTTGAACAATCAATTTTAGGTACAGAAAACTAAACACTTCACTCAAACTTCTTTTTTCTATCCTCTTTCCCAGGAGGAGACACAAAGGCAACAACACATCACAATCTTGACAAATCCTCAATCAACATGAATTCTTTAAAGAGACTATGTTGTTAGGATATCTGGAATTGCTGTGGACTGACTCCCCAATATCTTACCGCCAGCATCTGGGAAATTCTCACATTCAGGTAGGGAGCTAACCTTCCCATCGGAATCTACCTGTATAGGATACTTAAGAATATGTCCCTGCAGCAGTGAGAAATCTTCGGAAGTGTATAGTCTCCAATTATTGTCTGCAATTGCATTCACTTTACGCACACACTCCAATCTCCCTGGTTCCTCAAAAGTTTCATCTAACATGCCAAGATGCTCTCTCCAAAGTGACATTCTGTAACCATAAATCTACAGGAACAAAAACCATCGATTGTAATGAATAGAATATATCATCACAAGGTATGTATAAGAGATAAGAAGTTCACCATTAAGGCATCAAGTAATCAGTAATCAATGTTCTCCTGACAGACAGAGCACAAAAAGGTATAGTTGAAAAGTCAAACAAGCAACGGATTTTATTTGCTTAATTATCCACGACATCATTTAGCAATTAAGAGGAAGTCATTGGCAAAACGGGTTGATTCCATCGGGTCAACTTGGCAAAACGGGGTATCATGGGTTGTGTATTTCAACCCACCAACACGAGCAACCCACCTATATGTGGGGCGGGGTAGGTCAACCCGCGGATCAACCTCCATGTAATTTTAAAAAAATATATATATATTAAATGTTACATTATGGCTTGATTGGTCTATATAAATGGCTATGTGAAACAAAATCTTTTCTTTAGGGTCTCATAATGTTATTATATTAATGGAAATGTTATTTTTTATTCACTTTTATTTAGATTAACACAAAAAATAAAAGAAACTTAAGTTTGTTTTTGGATTTAAATGCTAATATCTATACAAATCAAATTTATGCTTATAAAATTCTAGTTTAAGGATGTAATGATGTGTTCATTTGCAAATATTTACATGTTTGATGTCATTATTTTGTTATATAATGACACTGAATATATTAATTAATCTTAAGATATTATTCGTATAGTTATGTTAAATAAAATTATTGGTTTACATCATTCTTTGTTCTTTAACTTATTGCTTGATGCTTTGTTTATACTTGAGAAATATTTAGATGTTAGTGATTAGAAATAAAAGATTAACATTAATATATTTATATTTTTATTAATATTCTATTTTTAAGCGGGTTGACCTGGCAACCCGCCTTAAAATGGGGTGGGTTGATGGTATGAGATAAGGGATTAATTTCCAGGGCTAGTTAAGTACAGAAACATTTAGTAATTGATATATCTATAAAATAATATAGTAATCTTAGATGAGATATGTAATTTTCAACTGATTAGTGTCATCCGGTTCAAATGTCACTTATACATACAAGGAAATTTATCAGGCACAGTGACTTTGTTTAAAGCTCGATAGTCTACACTAAAGCGCCAACTCCCATCCTTTTTCTTAACCAAAATCAGTGGGCTAGAATAGGGACTGTTACTAGGACGGATAATCCCGGATGAAAGCATTTCAACTACCAGCTTCTCCATTTCATTTTTCTGTAAGTGTGGGTATCTATAAGGTATCACATTGATAGGGGCTGAACCTTCTTTAAAAGGAATTTTATGATCAACAGATCTGCTTGGAGGAAGTCCATCCGGATTAGTAAACACCGAAGAGAATTGTGTCAAAAGAGATTCCAACTCATTCGATTGAGAAAGACTGAGTTTAAGTGTTTCATTGGTTCCGGTTAAATTTGATTCCTTGTCTAAGGATGCATATACCCAAACTAAAGCAGCTGCATCAGTTTCTGTTAACTTTGAAATAGCCCTAGAAGACAGCATTGAATGAGAAAAACTATGATCACCTTGAATGTGCACAATCTGACCTTCGTTGGAAAAAGACATATATGTAAAGTCCTCCAATTTATTTTAATGTCCCCTAATGTCTCTAACCAAGCAACTCCCAATATGATATCCACTCTTCCCAGTTCAAAGACATAGAAATCTCCAAACAATTGATATTTTCCCAACCTTAAATATAATCCTGAACAAACACCGGTTGAAGCTCTTGTTTGTCCATCTCCAAGACGCTCTGTGAAATGAGAAGTAGAAGAAACTGACAATTTAAGTTTCTGAACCAATTTGTTATTGATAAAATTATGACGGCTCACTATCAATCAATACCAAAACTGATTCACCCAAAATTTCAGCCTTCAATTTCATGGTTTTAGAAGGAGTTAACCCGTGAGCTGAGGAAAAGGATAAATCCAACCATTGTAGTTTCCCTTCATCCACTGCCTCAGCCACACATTGTTCCTGAAATTTTTGCGTATGATTCTCACAATCAAACTCCATGGCAGTCTCACCTTCACCTAAAATTGTTAGAGAATAATATAAATCATTAAAAAGGCCTTCAGCCAACATCTTAAGGTTTTGGGTTGAGATGGTTCTTTACATGGTATCAGAGCTTTAGTGACCACAAGGTCACGAGTTCGATCCTCACCGCCCCCCACTTTCAAGTGAAATTAAATAAAAAGCATAAAAGGTAAACCAAAAATTAGGCCTGTGCAATATTCACGCTTCAAGCCCAAAGGACTCTTGCGTGAGGGGGTGTATTAGAGAATAATATAAATCATTAAAAAGGCCTTCACCCAACACCTTAAGATTTTGGGTTGAGATGGTTCTTTACAAAAATGGTGAGTCTCAAACTTTTGGCAGCGCAACGATGTCCTGGAGTAAAGGCACGACCATAATGAAAGCACCTTCCTTCCTCCCTACGATGTACAAACTCCTCATATGGCAATTGTCGAAATCCCCTTCCTTCCCAAAATGTTGCAGATTTTGCATTGGAAGATGAAGATGAAGCCATCGATGATGACTTGATTTCAGGTGGTGTCATTTGAGTTAAATTACGGGCTTCTTGTGTGAGAAAACTTTCGGACCCTGTGTTGGGCCGTGGCCCAAAGTTTTTGCTGCTGGTACCTGTCCCATTCGATGGGTTATTAGGGTAGCCCATTTTGAGTGAAACCGGATTTGTACCCAAAATATCTTGACCCGCTGCCCCTATGAGAAAATCCAGCCACGATGGAGCTCAAAATTCCAGTTCCACGTCTTTAGTGAGTTCCATTGCACGAGTAATGTCCTTTGGATTGTGCATCCTTACCCGGAATTGAATTTCTGGTTTTAACCCTCCAATAAAATAACCCAGCAATGGTTCTTCCTCATCAACAGTAACTTGTGAAACCAGAATTTCAAATTCTTCAATTTATTTGATCACTGGCCCTCCTTGACGCAAGGTGGAAAGTTGTTCAAAAACACTACCCAGAGAACGATCGCCATATCTCAAAATCATCTTTTTTGTTAAATCGTTCCACTGCATATTGGGTTTCTTTTTCTTCAAAAATCGAAACCAATGAACCATGCTACCCTCCATACTCACAAAGGCAAGTTTAACCCTTTCTAATTCTGGTCTTTCTTGCATCTTAAAAAAAAATTCTGCTCTGGAAATCCATCCCATTGGATCTTCATCAAAAACAGGCATCTCGACTTTCTTCTCGCACTATTCAAGACCATGGTTTTCCTACTAAGCAGGTTTTGATTCAATGGTTTTATCATCCTCCAGAGGAAGCTTCTTGGGAAGATATTCTTGCAATTCAGCATCAATTTCCAGATTTTAACCTTGGGGACAAGGTTGTTTTTCAACCGGGAGGTATTGATACATTCAAGGAAATTCAAGGTCCTAAATCCTTCAAGGTTTATACTAGAAGACATAAATAAATAACTGCAATAGCAGTTGGTTAGGATATTATGTAGACAGTTCCTATATAGGCAGTTTCTTACTAGTTAGTTATGGTCAGTTATTGGATTGTAATAAGAGGATAAATTAATCCTCAGTTAGAAAGGAAGTCAGTTATTGGTTTATGTAAGGGTAGTTAGCAAAGGAGAGTGCTGCTTGGAGAGGTCTAACCTATTGTATGTATTGGAAGTGAACTTCTTCTGTTAAATGTATGGATGTGTTGCAGTATTTATCTTCTGTTATCTGTTAATTCAAGGGAAAGAAACTAGGAACACAACAGTCACCTCATTGGTTGAAATGTCACATCATTTGTGGCTGGAAAAAAGGGATTTCCAATTAGAAAATTTGCTGCAAGAATTATAGCTTATGGAGAAATACAAACCTGGCCACGTGGGTGTCTTTTCTTCGCAGACCATGTGTGATGGGGTTGATATGCACCCATAGCTATCTCGGTATCTTTAGTACCAGCCATAGATCTTTGGTTTATATTAGCAGATCCAATTATAACATACTCATCATCAACGATCATCCCCTTGGCATGCACATAAATCATAAATCGGCGATATTTATATGCTCCAGAGACCTGACAAGAAAAATACATTCACACCCTATTCTTGATCAGTGTCTACTATCTAAGACAAGTATTTCAAAAGTCAGACAAAATTCAGAGATTATAAGAACTTGTATACACAGACATATAGAGGCAGAGAAAAAAACTGTTGGATGAATTGGGAAAATATCTTCTACAATCTAAATGCTAACAAAGAAAAATCTATCCTCGATTTCAGAGCTATCAAAATGGAGTAAAAAAATATTATCAACCAAACGTCTCTTCCTTTCCATAACTAGAACAATGTACAATTGACAAAATATGGATTCCAGCAACAATTTTTTTTTTTACTACTTGATCACGGAATATAAGTATAGTAGCCAAACTCGTTGAAGAACTGCCAGATATGCATTAATGCATATGTGAAGGCTACCGCATCATAAACATAGTGAATGCAAAAGCTAACAGCGTGTATGGGCAGATTTAAGTGAAGAACTGAAGACTAAGGCTGGGTGATCATCGACAAAAATTAAATGCATCTCGTTATTTTCATCTAGAGCCCAAGGAATATGTGGAGATAAACTAGAAGACTGTAGTGTTAAGTCCGTTTGCTCATAAAATGGTCAAGGCTTTATACTAAGACTGTTATATTTCAAATGACAAATGAAATTCAATACTGACTTAGAAGAAGCCACCAATATATGTTCACCAAATAATGTTTTTGACAACAGATAATCCAAAGCTAAGAGCAAAACAAAATCATCTTTCTGAATACATCTTTTCATTTGTGATATTACCAGCACAAAATAATTACTATCATTGTCATCAATATGAAGAAGATTTCCTCATCTACAGGAGAAGAAAACTAATTATAACGTAAAGCAACCATGTATAGTTTAATGTGTTAATGAACATTATAAAGAACCTCAAAAGAAAAGTATTATGATATGCAGAATCCATAAACAAGATGGTTATTTTTTTTAAAAAAATTACCTGTGCACCATTGGAGCTTGAGGTTTCTTCATCAAAGTCTTCCCGATTACCAAGGCAATAGAAGTTGAGGTAATCTTGTGGGTGCACGTCGGTAATTTGCATTGATTTCAATTCTCTAGCAACAACATCATACATCATTTGCATTGTCTGGCCCTGTATACCGAAAACGCAGAACTGAGAATAAATATTTGCTTTTTTTTTTGCATTTCCATTCTTTCAAGCATTAATCTTCAGAAAGATCATCTAAAGTGTATACAGAAAACTTAGAACTGAGAATAAATATCTGCTTTTTCTGTTGCTTTTCTGATCTTTGAAGTTTTAAACTTCATAAAGATCATCTAAAGTGGAAGGTGCACTTGAAAGAGTAAAGTGCAGGTTTGGTAACCATTGATGAAAATAATAAATGGTTTAAGATAAGATACAACCACACAAACAACAAACCAGCATTTGTGAGAAATCACTCCCTTGATTTCCTCATCAGCAATTACTTACACTGTACTCTCTAAAGTTCACTTCAGAGAAGCTGGGTCCTTAGACTTCATATTCAGATATTGTAAATTTCCTTAATAAACTTTATACATTAGCTAATCACATACCTGCCAAAAGAGGATTTCTTGCATAGCCCCAGATTTAGGATCACCTTCTGGCCACATTGGTAAAACAACATAAACAGCAAATCTTTCCTTAGCTCTGATTTTATTAGCAATTTTCAGCGCCAATTCCATTGGGATGAGATTATCAGCCCCTGATCACAGTTGACAACAATGACTTAACAATTCTGTTCATTATCTTCTAAAAAAATTCACTTTTTTCTTTTGCCGACAAGATGTACAAACCAAGGAACATGAAAGTACATTTTAAGAAAAGGTAACAAGAAGTTAATAAAAGAAGAAGTTTCTTAGATAAAAAGAAAATTACAAAGAGTTGGAAGGATAAGGGATCTTCCTTACAAAAAAAATAATAACATTATTTTTTCTTGAATCAGATTTGGACCTAATTCACGCCATACCAACAACCACCCTTTCCTACTTGATCAATTTCTGAGAGGGATGTAGATTTCAAAAATAAAATGTATTCCCCTTTTTCTTCCTAAGATCAATGTATTCAAACTTAATAGAATGTCTTTTACTGCAGAACACGGAAAACCATCTCACAAAAATATAGACAACTATCTTGCCTTTTAAAAATATGACTTTAAGCCTGACCTGCATCTTTATAAGACGGCCATGCATATGATGATCCGATAAAGTATTGGTTTTCAATATAAATGAAGTGCTGAGCAGATCTGATCGCTTGAATGTATCCTGTTTGAATGCTTTTGTCTATTACCAAATTTTTAGAACAAATAAGATTCTGCATCCAAAAATATGTTATTAGAAATTGTGAAATATGATTCAAATCAATCAAGTTGATCATAGATTCAATATATAGGTTCGTTTTGCAAGCAAGTAGTACAGATTTCACTAAAGTTCATATATTTTGAGTTTTCTGTACAAATACAATAGGATGAACTGGGAAGTAAAACACAGCTAATAAACCTTAGACAAAGCTACATCAACATTTTTGGGAAATCCTTTCAGGGATCCTGAGTCAATGGAGCGAAAGATCTGTAAAATCAAGTGTACCCCAATAAGAGTTGGAAAACTCTGTTATGAAATGAATAATCTCGACAATCGAAAAAGAATAAAATGCAAGTAATATTTGCTAAGAACCAAACTTGCGTTGTCTAACCTGAACATGCCAGTTTTCAGGATCATCTTCATTAGAAACCCATACTAAAGGGTCATCCCCTGGCACATTTGTATTTTTAGCCTTTGAGGTAGGATGGGAAGGACTTAATATCCATGAGATGCGTTCGATTTTTAATAAAGAATCATCATGCCACTGAGAAGATTTTTTGAAAAGAATTGTAAACTCTTTCCACCTAGTTGCTTTTCTCCATCGCTGCTCAAAATTCAAAAGAACATCATATGCTGCAGGTCCATCTATTCTGCAGTGCAGATCATGCCACGGTTGTCTAGGAGCCCTTGTTCCAGACTATCGCAAACAGCATACATAAGAGTAAAGAGCAAACTCAGATGATGTATCAATTTTCTTTTACTTTTTCTTTTTTTGAAAATAAAAGGATCAATAAAAGAAAATCCAAAGCATTACAACATAATAACAAAACCATAATGCCTATGACATAAAGATAGCTAAACATTTATTAACTGGCTATCGCGCTCAATAATGCGCAGATATGCAATCTACAATAAAGAGAACGACATTATCTTACAAAAATAAAAACTAGTACCAATCTTTAACTTGGTCATGCAAATAAGATCACAAGGGACAAAATAACAAAATGAATTAGAGCTAACAGTTACAATTGGTTCCTTGGCATTTAATAATCAGACCAAGTCCAATAAATTTTAGATTGTTGTAGAATGTTATTTGGAAGCAAATAACAAAATTAGGTTACTCTAAACAAAATTCCAACTCAGAATTTGACACTTAAGAAATGTAATCTAGTACTTGGAATAATGTTTTGATTATTGTGAAGGCATAACCTAAGCTGACCTGAGAGCCAAGACAGATTCAAGCTGAACTCCGGTGGGCTAGGCATCCATCACCTGGTGGCCGCATATGGAAAAATAATTTTTTCTTATCCAGGTAGAGCAGTTAGTGGTTGGGGTAGGTGGAGATTGAGATGGGGGTCTTAAGTTATGATAACAAACCCAATGATAGGAATGGTGTAACTCTTACAATCCTATAGCATAGGTGCTTTACGAGGACATTATAGAAAATATTACAAAATATAAATTACTTTGAAAAACTTCAATACACTAGGTGACTATAATGAGTCTTTAAACAACGTTTTTCATACAATCAAATGATGTATCCGTCCAATTCAACTCCGTAACTAAGGGTTTTACTAAGACATTATCAATAATATTACATAATATAAATTCTATTCAGAAGCTGCGATAAACGTGGCGGCCAAATCATGGATAATAGAGAACTTATCATACACTCTAAAAGGTGTAATCCTTCGATCCAGTTACTTAGGGGTTTAACGAAGACATAATGGATAATATCCGAAAAAAGATTCTATTGAAATAGTTTAAATAGGACTGTCCTGAGTCCTGACAAAATGGAACAAATAAATTCAACACTTAACAAATTAAAATGTCTAATTGGGCTGACAACTTACAGGAAAAGTAGGATTGTGGAAATCACCAGAAAATACAGTGTCAAGATCATGAAAAAGTCGATGCTTAGGTGTGTCATAGCGACCATCGCATAGATCAAGACCTCCTATAAAAGCAGTTATCTTTCGGTCATTTCCAGCAGCCTGTGTATCCACAATAACACATTTTTGGTGGTGTGTGAAGACGTTTCCAACAACCTGTATTATACCACATCACAAGCAACTTTACTACGCCAATACTTTCAATAAACAAGAGATCATTTAGCAAATATGAAGAATAATAATGTTACAAGCAGAGAGGTGGGGGGAAAATCAGAATAAACGGACATGTATTTGTTAACTTCAAACAGAGAAAGAGTCATAGGAGGAGATCTATTTCCTATGTTCCATTTTGCATCTACAAAAAAACATACCCACGATTTAGAGCTTAGGCCACAAAACACAGGGCATAACACATTTGACTTCACTGAAAATTAGCTCATAAAGAATCCTATCTCCTGACAATATACAGGATAATGTATCAAGTCTAGGCAACAATAAAACACGGATCACAAAAGTGCAAAAGAAGTAATATAAGGAAACTAGAATTGACTATATTATGCAGACATCAGCAAGTCATCATTTGCAGGTCGCCAAACTCAAAACAAAAATTAGATTACTGAATTTTGACAGTTGATAGTGACAGTGATAACAATACTGGCCTGTTGCTTCAAGAAGCTCAACTTGCTGCTAGCGTAGCGAGGTGCTAGAACACACATAACAGAAGAATGTTTAAAAAACTTCCTCGTTTCCTCATCATGAGTCTGCATCACACCGGCCTGCACAAAAAAAAACACCAATTAGCAACTAACTGAAATTATCACAAAAGCAAAGAATAAGAAACTATATGCATAGGACAAAGAGACCTCACCGTCTTGAAGAAGAACTTATCGTGTGAAGTCTTATCATCCCAAACAAGCAACAAAACTCTCACCCCTTCTTCAGACTTGTACTTAAGCAACTCACCAAGCGTCAAATCTCCACCTCTTGGCAAAGGCTTAGTTGGCTCCCTAACAAGCTTCACCTTGTGATAAATTGACCAACCCACGAGATACACCATGTGATGAGCCTCAGATATAGCATAACAGATATCTTCCCAGCACTTTTCCTGCCTATAAACTTTTCCACCATCGAGCTGAATCTCCGGTACTGTCTCATCGTGACAATGTGCATCTTGGTACAACCTCACCGAGCTTCCCTTCCTCAACGGAAAATACGTGTGTCTCACGCCCCTGTGTTCGGGATCCGCCGCAATGCCTAGCCGGTAAAGCGGGTTATCGTTCACCGATGTGAACAACATCTCAATGTGTAGCGCGGTTTCCGGCTTTGGCGGCTTACCGGAGGGGCCAATTACCGGGAACCAGCCGGAAATCATCTTGCCAGCGGCAATATCCTGTGCCGGAATCTTAACAGTGCCAATTGTCTGGGCACCGAAAATGTCGTCGTCTTTGACGCGGAATTCCAAATCATCGACCGGGTGCGCCAGGGGGATATTGAAGCGCTCGTCCCAGCGAGGGTTCTGCGCATTCTTGAGCACGCGCGTGCGTGCCACGGTTGACTGCGGCACCGAAACGGTGACGTACGGGTCGCTGGTGATAATCTTTCTGCGGTGGTGGGTTCGGCGGCCGCTCCTGTCCGTGGAGGCGGAAGGTTCGGTGTCGGAGGAGTGGAATTTGATAGTGTCGCAGGCGGTGATGCAACGGCGGAAACGCTCGGAGACGAGGTCCATGTTAGGCAACCTGCGAGCCTCGATGATTTTCAAGTCAAGGTCACCGTGAAGATAGAAGACGCCATTGCCATCACCGTCGGTGTCCGCCATGGGAAGAACCACAGAGGTGCGTTCCCGTGCGGGCGAGTGTAGACTTAAAATAGAAAGTTAGATTTGGTTTGGTAAATTGGTATGGCTTCGAATGGAAGAAAAAAAAAATGGAATCAGATCAAGTGGGAGTTTGAAGGAGAAAGTGGTTTATGGTTTTGGAGTTTTCTTTGCTTGCTTGTGTTGTTGTTTCAGAGACACAGCATGGGTGTCACTCTGTGCACCTAGCTGGCGGGCTTCACAGGATTCCCTCATTCTCATGTTTTTTTTTTTTTTTTTTATGACCATTTTTTTAAGGGTTTATAAGAGAAACAAATTGTATTATGTACAAAAGGGGTGTATCTCATCTTTCTTTCTTCGTGGTTTCACTTATAATTTTTATTTATTATATGAGATGATGAGATAATTTTTTTTTATAAAATAAGAAAATTATTTTTCTTTTTTAATACGTGAATTGCGATGAAGAGATATGATACAGGGATGATCTAGATTATCTCATGCTAAAAAAAAAAAATATGATATGAATATATAAAAAATTATTACTATACAAAGATGAATTAGTATAATAAAAAAATATTGAAACAAATAATAACAAATTAATAATCATTAATTTATTTTTATATGATTATAATATAAGATCCATTTTCTATTGTACCGTTACGCAGAAGGGAAACGCCAACGTCCAACGGAATGGACACGAGTAATAAATTGTTTGAATATTTTTCTAGGTATTAAACTATTGATTATGTTGTAGTAACACTGTTTATGTTGTTGTAATTGGTTGAAATGAAACGAAACTAACATCCTCATCCACGTTCTTGGTGCGGTTAGTAATGAGATTGTGTCAATAGGTCTCGCATATCCACACCCAACGGCTAAAAAGGCCCCACAGTCGTGTGTCCTACCATGGAATTGGGTTACTTTATGAAGAAATCGTGTCTCTCTCATAAATGATTATTTAGTAAAAGCCACTTTCACCCGTGGATCGTCTTAGAAAGATAATTTTATTTATTAAATTTCATTGAAATTTTGATTGTAATTTTTTTTTACTTTAAATGCACACTTACTAAATTTGGCGAAACACTTTTTTTTTTTAAATTGTTATCAAAGTGCCTGTTTGGTGTGACATATAAGGTCTGATAGTATAAGCTTATACTATATATTATGACTTTTTCAATTGTTTGGTGTGACCATAGTATAGTATAAGCTTATACAGCAGGATTTCCTAATACATCAAAACGATGTATAAGTTAATCCGGCCTAAAGGGGAGATAAGGCCTGATAAGAAGTTGATGTATTAATATTGTTGATTAGTGTAATTCTAAAAAAAAAATATTATTTTAATATTAATATATTAGAATAAAAATTAATTTTTCAATATATTAATTTTTAAAATATTGAATATTTTTATTTTTATAAAAATTAATTTATATGTTGAACACACTGATCAATAAATTTTTATAAAAATTAATATCATATGATATTTTTTGAAGAATTATATAAATTCTTTATTTAAGGATATTGTTATTAAAAAATTATTTTTATCCTATATAGTATTACACAGTGCATTACCAAATACTAGATGATATTATCTTATACAATATATTATTTTATACAATACCGTACCAAACACTGGATAGTATTAAAATTCAATCAAGTCTTATACAATCAGACCTTATACTATCAGGCCTTATTCTATACTATGCACTAAACATGCCCTAAGTGCTTCACTTTGGTAGGAGAATTTTACCTAGGAAAGTGGGGATGAGATTCAAAAGAGATCATATTTGATATGGGTTTGAAAAAAAATTGCATGGAAATGTATTTTATATGTAAATTAAACTAAGAATACCACATGAGAATACCATCCAAAGGGTGATATTCTAAATTTGCCAGTAAAATGCTAATTTGCCTATAATTTTTTGATAATATTTCGGTTTATCAAATAAATTTTTTTTTTAACGGAAAATTCATTTTCCCAATAATTGTGATTACTAGGTAAAAAAAAAATTTCTCATTTACTAAACACCCCATAATTTTGCCGATAAAATCAAGTGATCCAATTGCAAATGGATGGTCAATTTCATGGCTTGTACCATGTTTGGGATAAAGTTGTTATTTTATTCATGATTTACGTGTGAAGGCAGAAGGATTGGATTGTGTGATGGATTGGTAAATTGTCTTTAAAGAGTTTAGATTAGCTCTACAATTTATGCAACTCAACTTACAATAAAAGTTATAGTTCCATGGAAGCATGTTGGGATGTGCTTTTCAACATTTTGCTTGGTAAGGCATTCCAAATAATATTATTGATTTCCTCTTTTGGCATCAAGTTGTAGAGTTGAAGTTATTTTCATGAAAGATTATTTTTTTATAACTATTTTAAAAGACTCAAATGAAATATTTACATATTTTTTTTTCTAAGAGCTTCAGTCATTACCTTTTACAAGGGACCTACTATTTATATTCCATATTTTGCATTATTTGGGTTATTCAAGCGTAATGAATCACATATTTGTTGATAATGTGCTAAGTGAAGTAGGACCCATGAACTCAATGTCTTAAAGTTTTAAGTTAGACATGATGTCGGACCCACTTGGTATGATTGGCTTAGCTTAATCCATTAATGGTAGTTCCCTGTCATGGGCTCCTCCTAAACCCTCGTGGTATGAGAGGTTGGTTGGGCTTGGGCTAGCGAGCTATTTGATTAGGAGGCGGGTTGAATACTTTTGAGCCTAAGTACTTGGTTAAGAGAAAATATATCAATATTGAATTTCACACTTGGTAGGGAGAATCAGGAACAATTCTTGTCTTTGTTTGGGGAAGCCAAGGGACAAACTGGAACTTGGGTGGTATTTATCTCTTTGGTTCCTGCTTACGATGGTCTGGTTGGATTTTGATGCAAGTATTTTTTTTGAAAAAATACTCAACCAAACTCAGTTTCTGCGTTTACTTGCTTCTTTGGTATTGTGCAGTTTATGACAATTACAACGTTTTTTTTAGAAGGGTTCTAAGCCTTGCAACTCATTCAAATAGTGAGATCTATATTCTGGGTTTGTAAGCCAAGCTTATCGCTCGATCTACATGTTTCGTTAGTATGTTGGTGACCTTGTTATTTAAGCCATGCAAATGGTTTGTTTCATCAATTTGTGTTAAAGTCTCATTATATTCTATACTAATTATTGGTTCCATCCAATGCAGGTTACTGTGAGAGTCGCTGGTGAGGGAAATTATGTGAGCAAGATCAAGGATGCAAGCATTGCAGCAAGAGCTGCTGCTGAGCTTTCAAACTGTGAAAACAAGAAATGGCAGTATTCAAGTAGATCTCAGAAAAAAGAGTTTCTTATATTTTCTTTACTATGTTGATGAAATTGTCAAAATATGAGAAGAAAGTATTCATCAAACTTGCCCCATTCTAATAATGTAATAATATGAGGGCCAATTTTAGCCGCTCAAACTTTGTATTTGACATGTTAATCAATGTATATAATTTGTTTTTTTGTGTCCAACTTTACCTTTCTATCATCACTTGTGGAACCTTAGATTATTTACAAAGTGAAAAACAACACTTTTAATGAGTAGTCATAAAAACAAGACTTTGGTATTAGGTAGTTCATAGAAGTGTTTCACCCATTTATTAACTCATTGGGGATATCAATTCCAAAAAGCGCTCTTTGTACAAAAGGGGATAACCATTGTCCTGATAATATTGTTTGGTTGCTTGTTTATAAAGAAGAATTTTTTCTACCCATGATCATTTTTGCTTGGTTACATATCGAATGGCAAGTTAGACAAGGTAGGAATTTAATTCTAGATGTGGTCTTTAGAAAGAACAAATATAAGGTAAATGGTGGAATGTGCATATTACCAAGTTGAATAGTTTTGTTTGGTAATTAGCACAAACAGTGACAAATGTCCTACCCATTTATAAATAAAAACAAATCCTTTGATCTCAAGTGGAGTCCCTGACGTCGCTTCTCTCAAATCGCATGAGAAGCCTTGAGAGACCGAAGAGAATGAAGATAGAGAAAAAAAAATTAATACAATTTATAGAAAAGTGTTGGATCTAAAATTAATCTAAATGGTAATTAAATTGGTTAAAAAATATAAGCATAATATCTTATTCTTAAAAAGTATATGTAAATAAATATCAAACTACTTTATTACCATTCATAATTCATAACGACATGAACTATATAAGATGAGACATTCATAAAAAAAGAATTAAATAATATTAAATATATTTTTGCGAAAGAACATTCAGAAAGATAAAAGAAAAAATAAATTATTATATTTTGTCGGTTATCTATTTATTTATCAAAAAAAATTCTCTCTAATCATGATTAATTGTGAAGTATTCGCAATATATTTCATACTAAGAACTAAGTACCAAATAACATTGCTACACATAAATTGCTTATTACCACTTGCCTATCCATGCATATTAAACGGATGAGAAAATGGTGATGCGCACATAAACTTTATCCATGCAAATTATTTTCTTTCAAAAAGAGATGGATTTTTTCCATGAAAATCTTCGTAAGCATACCTGTAAGTCTGTAATCTATACTAATGGACCAAAAGAAAACCAAAGTGAAACTCTGAACCAAGCCTACATAATTTTTTTCGAATCCCATTTATTTATCTAGCACAGGTCGAAGGGAAAGTCCTGCTGAAGATCTGCATATCAACGTTTCAGGGACACCAATTTTGGTTTAGGAATTTAGCCAAATCTGAGGCCTATTGAGATCAAGCTCGATGAAGGGATCAATTGCCTTTCTTCTGTCGAGAATCAGTGAGGTCAAACCAGAAAGATAGCCAGTCTAGGAGAGTTGGTATATGTATAATATCATTAGATGTCAGGGCACCACAGATTAACATGTAGGTTAGATGGACAACATAAGAATGTCCAAATTATGGTCATCCACTGATGAATGTTCATCCACCGTAACATTTCATTAAACATTTAAAAGTAGGAATTTATCAACCACAAAAAAAAAAAGGTAGGAATTTATCCAAACCATATATAAGAAATTTTAACTTTTCAATGTAATTCTAAAGCTAAGATGGTGTGACCAGGTTGTGAGTACCTGCAATCATAACATGTCAAAAACTGATTTCATGTTAGATATGTTACATTTGTCCCTCATGTGTGCAGATAAATTATTCAATATAATCTGAATATTTTCAGGTCTCAGCTTTGCTGAATCATCCGAGAGAAAACATTGTATCTGATTTTGTCCTTCAATCCAGCTGTAGCCAGGTAGCTTTTCAGCTGTTTTCTCTCTCATTAGCACCCTTACTCTTTCAACCTCCTCCCACCTTCCAGCCTCAGCATGCATGTTTGACAAGGTAATATAATTGGAGGCATTATGCGGTTCGAGTTCTAAAAGCCTCTTAGCAGCAAATCCACCAAGTTCCAGGTTCTTGTGTACACAACAAGCCCTAAGCAGTGAACCCCATAATCCAGCATTTGCTTTCACTTTCATCCCCCTCACTATATTGAAGGCTTCCTCCAACCTACCCATGCGGCCAAGCAAGTCAACTAGGCAGCTATAGTGTTCAGCCAAGGGTTCAATAGCAAAATCCTCAATCATGCATTTGAACAAATCCAAACCCTGATTGGCTAAACCAGCATGACTGCATGCTGACAACATCCCAATAAAGGTAACCTCATCAGGGACTACCCCCTCCGATAACATCTGTTCAAAGGCCTTAAATGCCTTATTTGCATATCCATTCAAAGCATAACCTGAAATCAAGGAATTCCAAGAAATAATATCAACACACTCAATACCTCTGAACACTTGTTCAGCATTTTGTACCCTTCCACATTTTGCATACATGGAAATCAGGGCATTGCTAACAAATAAATCATTTATATAGCCACTCTTCAGAAGGTATTCATGAAGTTGCTTGCCTGCTTGCAAAGCAGCAAGATTAGCACATGCACTTAAGCCACATGCAAAAGTTGATTGATCGGGTTTCTTTCCTTCCTGCCCCATCAAAACCAAACTCTTAAGAGCATCCAAGTATAAACTATTTTGTAGGAAACCTGTAATAAGAGAATTCCAGGAAACTATATTCCTCTCCCCCATGGCCTGGAAGATCTTTTCTGCTCTATCCATCTGTCCTGCCTGAGCATATCCAGAAATCATGGTATTCCATGAAACAGTGTTCTTAATGGGCATTTGTTTAAATAGGTTGAGAGCTTCGTCCATTCTTCCACTCTGGGAATAGCCTGCAATCATGCTGTTCCAACAAATAGCATCACGCGCACCAATTTGACTAAATATTTGACTAGCCTCATCTATCCTTCCATTCTGTATTAATCCTGACATCAATGCTGTTTGTGCTGCTACATCTTTGCAAGGCATTTGACTGTAAACTTCCCGTGCCTCATCAAGCTTACCAACTCGAATGTACCCATTAATCATTGTAGTCCATGAGACACAATCTTTATTTGGCATTTTCATAAACAGCTTAACAGCTTCATCAATTTGTAAGTCTTGGACATAGGCTGCAATCATTGCATTCCAAGAAACCACATTCTTACAAGGCATCCTGTCAAAGATTCTCCTGGCCGATGTAATCTTACCATGTCTTCCAAACCCACACAACATCGTAACCCAAGATACAGCATTAGGATTTGGAATCTTTTTAAACAATTGCCAAGCAGAACTCAGGTCCCCACTGTTAACAAACCCAGCCACCATCAAATTCCACGAAACCACATTCCTCTTGGGCATCCTCTCAAAAAAGTGCAATGCAACACACATTTTCCCATTTTGTGTATACCCAGATAACATTGAGTTATAAGAAACCAAATCCTTTACTGGCATCTGCTCAAACACTTTCTCAGCATCACTGAACTGACCCTTCTTTGCATAACCAGCTATCATTGCATTCCAACATGCAATGTCCGCCTCACCAGGAATCAAGTCGAACAGTTGTCTAGCCTTTTCAAGCTTCCCTTTACGCCCATAGCAAGTTATCATCAAAGCCCATGAAAAATTGTCTCTCTCAGGCATTACCCCAAACAACTCATTGGCTTCTTCAACCATATTGTTGCGAACATACCCAGCAATCATGGTGTTCCAAGAAACAAGGTTTCTTGGGGACATTTTATCAAACAGTTGTCGAGCATCACTAATTCTACCATTTTTAGCAAACACAGAAATCATGGAATTGTATGTTACAAGGTTTTTGTTGATCATATTTGAGAAGACTCTGATGGCCTCTTCAACTTTACCCAGTTTCCCAAGATGAATAATATGCAGATTTTGGTTGAAGACATGGTTTCCTAGTTCACCTATTGATTGAAGTTTCATTGAGACAGAGGTCCCTCCCCCAGTGCGTCCTACGATAAATGGGCAATGATAATTTTATGAAATCACGTACTTAATACAAAAAACGAATGTAAGATTAATTAATAAATTCACTTTGATCGATAAACTATATTTTACTACACTATATTTTTAATTGATAGGATAAAGGAGGAGAATATATATATATATATATATATATATATATATATATATATATATACGGGGAATGATCTGTTTACAAATTTTTTTGATAAATTTTCACAAATTACACTATCTTCAACATAGTGAAACTTGATGTTCTTCCGAGAGAGAGAAGATAGTGTAGTTTGTAAGAGTTTGTAAATATAACATGCTCATATATATATATATATATATATATATATATATATAGGTAAAATTATTTCTGCAACTGCTTTACGTACAGTAAGGTGTATAGTTATGATTCCTCACATTTAATGTTTTTATCTTGTGTATGGTTATGATTTCCTGCATTTAATGCTTTCAAGTATATATATGACAAGTATTTGATTGTTGCACGTACAGCAGCTGCAGAAATGTAAACTTATATATATATATATGGGATAAGTTATTCTACCTACTCTGATCTTGCCTACCTCTTTCATTACCGTTGGATTATATTATAATCCAACGGTTCATATTTACGCAATAAAATAACTCTTTCTTTCTCCTCACTTTCTCCCATATACTTTCTCTCTCCTCCCCATTTCTCTCTTCCTCTACCTATACTTAATTTTTTTTTCCCTTTATGTCTGATCTCTGCGGAACGCGCGCGGAAGCATTATGCGAAGCAGTTATGGATTTACAGGGAGAAAAAAGATTGAATCAAGTCAAGTGGATGCTACAAGGTTTGCCTTAATATGGAATGAGATTATTGTTACTTTCAGGGAGGAAGATATCATCAGTGATAGAGAACATGAACTCTTGGAAAGAGAGAGAAAAAAAAAAAACCTGGAATTGTAAAATTTTGCTCATAAAACAAAGTGGCCCAAATACAAATGGATGGTCAATTTTATGGGATCTATACAGATAAAAAAATAAAATATTAGAAGATTGTAAAATATTAAATTAAAAAATTTAAGAATATTTAATAGAAGATTGATTTAATTAATAGTAGTTTACTTTTACTATGATAAAAAATTAAATTGAAATATATAAAAAAATACCTGAGTTTGATAAAATGGTTTAATTGATAAAATATTATTTTAATGGTGATTTGCAAACATCTCATTATGCCTAATGTGATTGAAAATTTTGAGCATTGGTTAATGGAATTAAGAAAAGTAAAAATAAAACAAAATAAATGAATAATTATTTAAAGAGGGAAAAAAATTGATTTCATATGATATAAAAGCTCAAAAGACAGTCAAGAAAAACGAGAAAAACACATAATAATGAAATTGTTGTAAAACATGACTTTTACATGTAGATGACTGTTGAGATTTTAGAAGGAGACATTTTGCTTGCTGATGACTTTTTGTATAAATTGTAACAATCTTGCATAATGGTGCATTATATGTAATTAGTCTCCCTATTCATCCTTAGAGTTCTATATAAAGGCATATACTCTATAAAAACAGAAGACAATAAGGATTGGTTATATTTTTCTACTTTCTCCCTTTATTTCATACTTTTTTTATTTTCTCTCTTAGTTTTATAATATTTCTTTATTTTCTTTTTTAGTTTCATAACAGTAACAAAGAAAGTGATTTCACTCTAAGGAGGTGTTTGGTAGATGAGAAATTTTTTTTACTAGGGAAATACAATTACTGGAAATATGGTGGAAAAATGAGTTTGGTAAGAAAGTTAAAAAAAAGTTGTTTGGTAGGCTGAAATTTTATCAAAAAAATTGGGTTAAATTTACTGAGTCTATGTTTAGTTGAAAGTAAAATATCGATAAGAAATTGAGTTAAAATTATGAAATAACCCTTAATATGAAACTAATCTATACTCGGCAGCAGAATTACTCTTGCATGGTTCACTTATCTCCAAGGCAGAAATCAAATCTGTAACTGCACCTCCCAATTTTACAACCAAACTGGTTGTTGATTTGTTCAATTCAACTAAAGCATCTGAACTTGAGAAGTGGATATCTTGCATAGTGATTTTTGTTTATTTTTTCACACAAACCTGAAAAGCTGGGCAACTAAGTTTGGTAGGCAAATTTTATATTCTCTTCTACCAAACATGGACAACACATAAAACCACTTTCAGATGCCTAGCTATCCTCACAAAAATCCTCTACCAAACACCATCTAAAGAATACGTACACAAATTTATTCTATACGGATGAATAATTAAAAAATAACATTATTCACTCCTCCTGTAGACCGGGTTTGATTCTCAGCCACTATCAAAATGAAATATTTTGTGTACCAAAAAAAAAACAAAGCATTAATATAATTTGAAAACCAATAAACTACAAATCACGATTATTTTAGTTTTTATAAAATAAATATTTATTTTGAGGTGGAACACCTATAATAGACTCATACGGCTGAAATACTTGCTAATTTGACATTGATTATATGCTTTTGAAAGGAGTAGTGGTGTAAATGGAATGAGTCGGGCTAGGTTTTGACTTAAATAGGTTAGATTTGTGTAAAACACTTTAAGTCAACTTAGTCTATTAGCTTTACGTATGCCCAAATTATAAATTTGGCATTGCCTATATTTAAAAAATAAAAAAATTTAGCCTATGTGTGCTCGCCTGTTTAAGCTATTAGATATTCCATAATAAAAAAAAGTAATTTATTATTCAAAATTATTAAAATAATAATTAAATTTAAAATAAATAATATAATATCTTGAGGTAGCAAAGTGAGCATGTAACACCCCGTGTATACCCAGTATGTTAACATGTCATCATATTAAGTCACGCTTAATTAAAAATGCGGAATATATTTTTCTTTTCAATTATGACGTCATTAAACTTAGCCAAGTTGATTACTTAATCAATTTCATAAAACATCGCCTGTATATAAATTGCAAAAGACAGCTAACTGAAATACCTCATAAATATAAAGTGAGTATCTAAGTCACGGATCTACAACACGTAGTCCGGACAATATCCTGATACATTAATACAACTCAAAACTAAGATAAGACAAAGTCAATCAATGTGGCATGGACAATCCCCATGCTCACCAAATAAGGCAACAAGCCCAGCAAGTCTCAACAACATCAACATAATAATAAAGCTAAAGACATAATAGCAACAGTCATATCCAGCATCTCAGCACAATCAGCATACAGATAAATATCAATCAACTAAGCTCCGGCCTCCTGCCGCTAGAGGTCTCAACACCCGCATTACCTGAACCTGAAATAAGCGCCCCAAACGTAGGGTAAGATCTCTGGACAGAAATCTCAGTAAGACAAGGGGTCCTCAAGGATCTTCCACCCCAAGCTCACTTACATGTGCAATATAAGTTCCAAAAACAGTTCAACAGTATAAGTTCCAAAATAGTGCAATGCAGCAGATAATCATGTCATGTGTGTCAATACTAATCTACTGACCAGAGAAATGCAGGAATACGTCTATTACCCACACTAGTCCAAGAAGCCACTTGCACCACCCACGGTGTCACCGTCTTGTATAACGCCACATACTCACGCTAACCGTCGAAGTGGAACAACACATACATATTATAAGCAATTGCACATAAAGCTCAACATCATTTCAATTATCAAAGCATGTAAACACAGCATGCATATAAATCATTCCCCCATAAGGTATGGTGGAACCACACAATGGCTAAACCGAGGACACGAAAGCTTACCTTGCAAGCTAACAATCTAAGCCAAGAGTCCAACCAATCTCAAAGCCTAAACACAGCAGAATCACAATCTGTTTTGGACGAGCAATCATATCAATATTCAAACATACGTGCATATGACATAAAGACAACGTCTTTTCTTTAATTTTCATGTCTTTAGGCTTCTCACAAAGCCACACGCCCTTAATCACTTTGATTCTGACTTAGATTAATCATTACAGAAGTTCAACTTAACCAATCTAGGGTCCACAAACCCCAAACACAGTTCTGTATGAACAATACAGACACTGTCTCGAAATTCCCAGAATATCTGGATATATGTCGAAGACATATCCGGATATCCATATTCAGATATCTCAAAGCCCATATCCTGATATCAATATCCGGATATCATATCCGGATATCAATATCCAGATATCATATCTGGATATTTCGCGACAGAATGCAGTTTCTGCATTTTGCGAGATATCACTCCAAAGGTTGGATTTTTAACCCATTCCAACGTCCAAGCATGCATTTTTACAGACTAACAGATTCATGTTTATGTTGGTTACTTCATTTTAACATATTACATGCCAAGACTTAAGCTCTAACCATTAAAACTCATGATTAAAGGTTCAACAACTTACCCAAAGCTTAAGACAACAAGGAAATGGTGCTCTTGGAGCTCACCAACAGCTCCTCAAGTCTGACTTCACAAGGTGCACGAAAATGGCACACAAAGAAGGGTCCTTTCTTCACAAAGGTAGCTTCTTGAAGCTCCACAAGCCAAGAAGAAGACCCCCACAACCCAAAATCAAAACTCAACCCACTCTCCCTATCCCAACAGTGGTTGAACTCAGAAGAAAGATGTTTCCACTCACTCACACAGCCAACACACACAAGCTCAAGGTGTTTAAGTGGAAGTTCAAGGGAGAAATGGCCACTTGGCTCACAAGAATGGAGGAAGAAGGCAATGAAACAGTGCACAAACTGACCAGCCACCAAAGAGTCCCGTAATCAGAATGCATGGCCTAGGTTTTGGGCCAAAATGCATATATATAGAGGTTTAAGTCTTAAACACACAGTATTAGTACTAATAGCTACGCTTAGCATTTTAATCCCAAACTTTGGAATCTGAACCTACTCATTTTTCTAAGATTTATTATATTCTTATTTTATTTTTTGCAGCACCTTTCTGGTACGCACTTTTCCATAGCCAGTATCAGTTCTGGCACCAGTTCTCATTATTCTAACTTGAAACTTGTTTTACAAGTCCTATATATTATTCTAGTGACATATACACACTTATTATAATTTTTCAGGATACTTTATCGGTACGCATTTATATCGAGTAGCAGAACTGGTATCTGCACTTTTCGTCAGAAAAGCGACTTTCAGCAGTATTAATTACTTACTATATTTATTTAAGCCTCACAATAATTATTAGGGTCAATTATGAAATCATTTTCTAATTTCACATAATTAATTAATTAACTTCCTTAATTAACGGTGCGGCTTCTTACAGAGCACATTTTCACAAGCCTGCCAAAAATTGGCTCGGCCCGCCCCACCCCACCTTTGAAGATGGGCTAGAAAACTCAGTCTGTCCTGTCCCGTTTGGTATTTTACACAATAAATAAGTAAATAAAATTTTAGCCCGGGCAGGCTTGGTGGGGCTGGCGGGACGAGAGGGCCTGGCGGGTCGAGCTCGTTTTGCCACCTATAATAATATAGGCCAGTTTGTAAGGTTATTGGCTGAGCCTTGTAAATGAAAGCCTATGATATGCTTTCTAAAAATATTTTTTAAATGTTTGAGCATGTTCTATCTTACTAGATATAATAGGTCAAGTTTGACCTGATATAGATCGGGCCATATAGGTCTCCTGATCCATTTACACCTTTAGTAACAAGGAAGAATAAGTGGATTACATTACTTAGGAAGTGTGATGTAACATTTTCTAGGGTGTTTACGGGATGGGTTAAAATCAATTTAATCTAACCCCAACTTAATTTAATATTTTGATAGTACTATTAATTATTGCGTTGGAATTAGTTTAACTTGATATCTAGTAAAAATGTAGAAATTTAGATATTATGTACCGCTACATTATAAAATTTTAAAGACAATAATAAACTAACATCAAGGAATGCTATATTTTGAAATAAATTAACATGTAAGGTAAAAACTTAATTTTTACCAACAACAAAAAAAAACTTTAATTTGAGTTATCAATATGTGTAGCTCGGTTAATAACACGTGTTAAGTAGATGGGAGAGAAACTGTATAACTGGCTCAAAGAATCGAAGTTTGTGGGGATATTAAGAAGCCGATTTGCCTCAAATAAATAATTAGGATCGGTATAATAAAAAGAAAAAAATTAAGTCAATTTTCTTTATCATTTATTGTTGAGACAACTCAAAATATGACTTGAACCTGACTCAAAAATGCACTGAAATAATTTTCAAAACCTAAATGCATCATAATTAACTTCAATGTTGAGATGGGTTACATGACCAGTCTTGATTGATTCTCTTGAACATCCTTGTCTTCCTTGAGATCTTGGTATGGTTGTTGAAGAGTTGTTTTCCTTTGCTGTGAGTTATCAATTTTTGTAAATAACTTTTTTGTTTATAGGTGGCAGCCTGGCGGGACCCACCATATGCTGTGTGTACAACAAGAGAAAATAGAGACCCTAACTAAAAAACTTTCAACATTATCCTATTATACGATTAAGAATGGTGCACCAATGGCTCTTGAAATGTAGTTGTTAGTAGGGGTGTAAATGGGCCAGGCTGGCCCAGCCCAGCCTACGGCCCGGCCTACATTGAGCCCAGCCCAGGCCCAGCCTTTCAGAAAAGTAGAGTAGGCTTAGGCTTATAAAATAGCTTTTTTAATAAATAGGCCATAGGCCAATTTTGTCAAGCCCGGCCTACAGCCTTGTAGGCCGGCCTATTTAATTTATTAAAATAAAATAATAAAATAATATTTATTTTATGTGGCAAAGACACAAAGTGCCAAATAGCAATATCTCTTACTTTTTGTGCTATTTTATTTTATGAAAGGAAAACTTGTCTAATGTCTCCAAATTTTACATGTTGTTGCAACTTAATACCATGGAACAATGGGTACCTTGCTGGATTATGATGTTACTGATGAAGATCTTTCAATAATACTCTTCTTTCCCTTGTCTTGATGGTGGTTTAAAGATTTTTAGATGAATGACATTCTCTTGTAGACTTTATTTCAGCATCTAGTAATTGTATTTTTCTTATTTTTCCCATTTCTTTGACTCTATTCCTCTATGATATACATTCTAGAGCTGAGGTATTATGTTGACTCTTTCTTGTTTGTCATTTTTTTCTTATGAGAAGTAGTGCATGCATGAATGGAACTTTCTTTGCTCTATACAATTATTTTTTTTGCTTAGTATATATAGTGGGAGGCCTACAAGGCCTATAGGCTATGTCAGACTTTCTTATTTTTGAAAATGGGTCGGGCTTGGCCTACAAATAAAGCCTTTAATAGGCCAGTAGGCCAGATAGGCTAAATTTTTTTTGACGTAGGCTTGGGCCAGGATGGCTAAAGCCCAGCCCAGCCCAGCCCATTTACACCCCTAGTTGTTAGATAAAGAGCAAAGGAGATTAACCACTACCTGTTCAACAGGTAAGTTGTTCAAGTTGCGTTTTTCAAAATAGTCCATAGAAAAAGTTATTCGAAGTTGGGCTTTGCTAAATGGTCCATAATATTTCTCTTGTAAGGGGTCTCAGTTTTGGACTTCAGAACAAAACGCACTGTTATTTTCGAAAAATCCAATAATAATAGGACTCAAGTGTAAAGCAACTAACGGACCATTTCATAAATTATCATAACATATTGTACCAGACTTTTTGAAGGGACCACTAGTGCACCTTTCTTGTAAACCAAGTCCAAATATCACATCGGTCACAATTTACAAAAAAAAAATAAAAAAAAATAAATCATTACATCATCTTTGCTATTACCTCTCTGCAAGTGTAACATCAAAATCATACAGTGATCCTCTACCACTAGTGAATTTCTTCATCGTATCCAACGATGGGGCTTTCAGCGTGTCTTGTGCCTTTTCTTCTGAGACAAAACCTTTCCCACTTTGTTTTCTCCCCTTATCACTTCCCTTAGAAATCCAAAGCAGAATCTTCTTTTCAGGGCATCGAACAGAGTTATTGTTTTTCTTTGGAGGTTGCTGAACCCTTTTACGTTTCTGGGCCTTCCTATTCTTCTTGCTCTGAACTTGACCCATGCACGAGACTTTGGGGGAGGTGGGTTCTTTTGCACTAAAGCTTCCACCTTTGTGCTTTCTTCGAGCTTCCTTGGGAATTATTGAAACGATGCGTGTAGGTGATCGACAAGGACTCACTGTTGGGCTCCGAAAGCTCACTGAAGTTATAGGTTGTTTCGAAAGAAACTTGAAGAACTTGCTCTTAATTTGAGAAATTTTCTCCATCTTTGATGGCAGTTGAGAACCTCAATGGGCAGGTATATAAACTATAAAGTGCCATGGGATGTAACTGAAAGTGATGGTTCCTCATTGGAAATCACTTAATCAGAAAAATAAAAATAAAAAAAATTGTGGGCAATTAAAGAAACATTATGGTTGACATTGATGATAGAGGAGTGGCGTGCTATTGAGGTAGAGTTAGAGTGGAAGAATTTTCTTAAAACATGTTACATGCGTAAGTTGCCGGCACAAAGTAAAATACATGAAATTTGGGATTTGGTCATGGGATTTGCCGGCACAGGTACGTCATAGTAACACTGAAATAGGCCACTTGTTTGGAAGTAAATTTTTTGGCATAATTAAGGCATGCCATAAACCCTCCCAACATGACATTTTCATTTTCAAATTCCTTATTATAATGCCGTTGAAAGAGAGGATAAGTAATGTTTTATGAAATGATCACAAATCACAATCACGGTATAATTCTTTGTTGCTCATTTTATTCCTTTCTTTTGTCTTTTTTGAGAATCTTGTGCTGCTACGAAGTTTAAATCATGTTCACACTAAAGCACGAGCTATTTATATAGCATGGAACTTAAGCATGGTTTAAGTTCTATATTGTTCCATTGAAAGCCCACGAGCTCCGAGTCACGGTGATGAGTTGAGCTCTCCCCGTAAAGCAGGAGTTTAGGCCATGTTTCTTTAAAAAAAAAAAAAAAATTATTTTACAAAATTTTATAACAAATATGTTCTTTAAAATGAAAAAACAAACAATATTTATTTTCAATATTTATTCAACACATCTTTAATTCTTGTCACATTTCCTAACTTTCAACAATTCCTTGTTAAGACCCCAAGCAACATAAAGGTATGTGATAGAAGAAGCAGCTTGATGAGTCAATTAAAAAATATAGCATACCAAAAAATTAAGTAAACATCATCCTCCACGAGTACAAAAAGTTAAGATAAAACCAGTTTAAGATAAGAGTATGCATGGATTTATATAATATAATTAAGCTACAAGCTCGACGGTGTCATTCGACTTATCGAATTCTTATGAAATAACCTAATATAAAAAGTCAGCACCGTATGTCCGTATATTTTTTATAAAGTTAAACTAGGATAGAGGATGAGCAAAACCAAATTTACAATTTATTCTCACGAGAAAACAAACCATTCCTGATGTGCATTTTTTTTTTAATAGATGAATCCCACACTTATTATATCTATGACACGAGATTAGAATTCTCATAGATTTTCTTTTTCCTATTTTTAATTAGGTCCAGATATCGTTCGTTCAACGTCTGCGACATAAATTTGTTACAAAGAAATATTTTACAGCTATCATCCTCAAGCCTTTTATATGCACACGTATTAGAATGACAACAACTCCAGGCTCCAAATGTTCAACTACTAAAGCAGAGTTTGACAACAACTCTGCCTAAGTTATTGTCAGCAGGGAGTCAAATGACATAAACAATTCATAAAATGCAAACTAATAGACCTCCAACATCTTAAGTTGTCCTCCGTCAAGTCCTAAGAGTTGTGAAGACCATAAGAGTCCTCCGTCTCAAGTCATCCCTTCCCGGCAGAACTTAATAGAGTCCTCCGTATAACCTCAAGTTGTCCTGAACATTCACACCGGTCTTTAAATATTTCCAATAAAGCTAAAATTTAAACTTAAGATAAATTATAAGCTCCACATGCTACAAGCACAATACAGTTGTATAACTTTCTCTAGGGACAAAAGGGAGTAGAAACAATGCCAAATGCATCACTTGTTTACAACTATCTCCAGTTGTCAAAAGTCAATAATCCAAATCATCCTCTCCCCCCCTTTCCCTCCATCCAATCTGTATATTAGCGACTCATTTTCATAAAATTTATCCCCATTTTCCCGTTTCGAAACCAATTACAGAATTTTTTTTTAATATTTATTTCATCAAAATTAAAGAAACGCTTCACCCTTCCAACTAAAGGACATTGTTTGCAAATCTTCCTAAACACATTTAGGCCAAATAGAACCTTTTCGCAAATTTAAACCAATAGGAGATAAAGATGGAGAATTAAGAAGGCTTTTCTAATCTTAACTTATGTCTAGTAAAGAATTTCCGAACCGTTTATATTGTTAAAAGTTCCATCCAATAAGATAAAATTTTTAACAGTCATATATTTGCATCAGTGAAGCTGCTTGTTTACCTCATTGAGTGCCTTCATCATCCTTGTCACTTGTCTGGGGAGTATACTGGCTTGTTGACGATGGTGAGTAACCAGGTTGACTTGGTGAGTAACCCGTGCTAGGACTACAAAAGATGAAACAGGAAAAAAAAATAGCCCTTGATCAGATATGTTCCTTCTATACAATGTAACAGTTGAAGAATGACTCGTATATATGCATACCTAAATTGTGGAGAACTTGGGGTATAGTTTGGGCTTGCGCCAGAACTATATGGGCTAGAAAAATGCATAAGTATGAACAAGTCACTAGAAAAATATAACCTCTTAAATTTTAACAACGCATTAAAAAATGAAAAAAAAATGAAAAAAAAAAAAAAAAAACTCACTCCAATTCTACTACTGTTCTTTACACGAACACGAGATAAACTAATCAAAGGCTTGGCGGTAGAATTGGAGTTTTTTTTTTTTTTCAAAAATCCCTCATTAATCGAAGTGAATGATTTAAGTTTTAAGTAAAAAACAAAAACACCAGACGATAGACTATTATCAGCCACCTAACAATCTAATCATTGAACAATATGGAATATCCAAAGGAAAATAACTCCTATTGCAGAAGGTTGAGGGCTCAAACCCAAGTAGTTTACTGAAAAGTAAATGGAAAATTCAAGTTTTTGGCATATCATGACAGCATTTACAGGTTCCATATATCGCACTCAGTACTGAAAATATACTATAAAAAACCCAGAGAATGACTCACCTATAGTTTGGAGATGTTGGACTATATGGACTTGACGGAGACAATCTTGGACTGCTGGGAGAATATGCCATCGAAGGACTATACTTAGCTGACTGCGGATTATAACTAGGGGAAGTGGGACTGTATGAGGGAGATGTTGGGCTGTAAGAGGGGGATGTGGGGCTATATCCAGGAGACGTAGGGCTATATGCAGGTGATGTAGGGCTGTAAGATGGAGATGTCGGGCTGTAAGATGGGGATGTCGGGCTGTAGGAAGGCGAAGTGGGACTATAGGAAGGCGAAGTTGGACTGTATGAAGGTGATGTTGGGCTATAAGATGGAGAAGTAGGACTATATGCAGGTGAAGTAGGGCTATACGCAGGTGATGTGGGGCTATATGCGGGGGACGTGGGGCTATATGCGGGTGAGGTGGGGCTATAGCTGGGTGAGGTGGGGCTATAGCTGGGAGATGTTGGGCTGTAGCTGGGAGATGTTGGGGAGTAAGACGGACTGGTAGGCGAATAAGCTGGACTTGTAGGACTATACCCTGGAGAGCTAGGGCTATACGTCGGAGAAGTAGGACTGTAGCCTGGTGATGTGGGGCTGTAACCGGGGGATGTGGGGCTGTACCCAGGTGAAGTAGGGCTATAACCAGGTGATGATGGACTATAGCCTGGTGAGGATGGACTATAACCAGGAGATGAAGCAGGAGAAAAAGCCATCCCACCAACATAAGGAGAAAATTGTGCATCAGTAGTAGGAGATAGTCGTAGATTTGGACTCAACAAGTAACTTGGAGACATCAAACTTTCATGGTACGGAGTTCCAGATATAGGTGAACGAGCAGGTGTCATGCCAAAATCAAGTCCATCCATGTAACTTGGTAGCTGGAGCTCGATAGCATTTTTCAGCATCTCATCATTAAGATAAAGGGCACATTCACCTGTGCCAATGGGGGCAAGCTGACCTAACATAATATTTTCCGTGACACCCCTCAAGTGATCAGTCTCAGCATATACTGCAGCATCTAGAAGAATGTCAACAGTCTCTTCAAATGAACATCTCATCATTGGTCCAGTGTCATTCCGGTTGATACCATGACGTGTAATTGCCATCAAATGCCCCCGATAAGTCATGGTATCGCAAAGAATAGCCAGATGCCTATAATTGACATAAGAACCATCAAAAGAAATGACAACACGCAATTCATCCAGTAGAGACCGCCGAACTGCCTCAATACCAAGAACTTCAATAACTTCAATCAAATGGTTGCTTGTGGTCCTTGTTGCATCAACATCTTCATGGCACATTACAGCTAAAAGGTTGACACCTTCGGTATCAAGCATCCATTCCTCATGAGGCTTAAAACCTTCGGTCTCATCAAACTTCTGAACTTTAGTATTTTTTATGAACACTTTGTTGATGTCTGCAATACCTCGTAAGGTCATTTCAGTCAGCATATTACTTTCAATTTTCTTCAAGAAAACATCATCTTCAGCAGATTCATCTTGAATCTCTCCCTTGGGCGCTTCATCATTCATAATGCGGATCCGAAGAATAAGTTTTTCAGCATTGTCGTCATTAAAAATACAAGTCAAATCATCATCAAACTCAAGGTTAATCTTCTCAGCAATGTCAGCCATACTCAACTTCTTGTCCACCATCATTTCACGATTCAGTTCTATGCGAAGCAACCAAGGTGAGATTTTTTCAAGAGCAACCTCTTCATCAGGCATTTCATAATACGACTTCACAAAATCCACATCCTCATCAATTATTGTACTCATTGGGTCCGGATCATACCACACCTCCGTAGCTTGAGTCACACTCCTAAGAGTGGTATATTCTAAAGCACACTGCACACTCTTAGCTCTCTCTTTAGTCTTGCTGATGTCAGGTTTCAAGAACACAGATAGAGAAGGTGTTTTAATCCTCTTTGCGACATTAATGATTTCCCTTAACCTAGGAACACCAAGAGTAACATTCTTAGCACTGACACCAGCATAGTGGAAGGTGTTGAGAGTCATCTGAGTGGCAGGCTCACCAATTGACTGTGCTGCCACACAACCAATCATTTCCCCGGAGGCTACAAGTGA